TTTTCGGGATTGCAAAATTTCACTTTTGAGCACTTATAGTCTCATTTTTTGACTCTATGAAATTAAATCATTTTAAATTTTTATCTAATGGAGCTTTATCCAACCTTTCATAATCTACTATCAGATTTTCATTTTAGCAAGCTCATATTATAGGGGATTTTGCGTATATCAAGAATTTGAAATCCGTTCGTGTCTGACAAGTGCCGTTGGGCACCGTACGAGGCTAGCGGTCGAAGTTAGTCGTATTCAAGGCACCCTACGAAGGTAGCGGTAGAAGTGACTCGTGTTCAGGGCACCGTACGAAGGTTGTGGTAGAAGTGACTCGTATCCATAAAATATAGAATATAATTTGTGCTATTCGGAATTGAAAAAAAAACTGGGAAAAGGGGGTCGTACCGCCTCATGTATTTTTTTGTAATAATTTTTTTTCACTTCTTATTTTTCCGATTTTAATACTTTATTTTCTAGATAATATTTAAATTAGTCGCGGTGTTGTAAACATCAATTATTTAATTAACTAAGGTATACAGTAAACTTATACGAAGACAATAAATCATTTATTTGTATTGGTAAATTACAAATTCATGTTTTTTCTTATCCTTATCCTTATTGCGTATGTGTGTTATTTGAATGTTGTGAATTTTTACTTTTGTCTTCTCAAGTACGTGTTTACCACTACGTTTGTTTATAAACAACTTTTTTGTTCGACTGACGGGTATTATCGCGACGCACATGCCTTGTACCTGGCAACGCGGAGCGCACACGGCAGTCGTTTCACCGCGTGGTCCGCGAGCGCGTCTCACTACTAACCACGCGTTTTCTGACTTCAATTATTCAATTAATCGTCGTGTATTCATTTCATCATCAGCAAAATATTCGAATGAGCATGTGTGGCTGTTTTGTTTGATGAGTTGTGGCGGTTAGAGTGTTCCTTGGTAAGAAATAAGTGTCTGTTAATTTCTGCATGAGTTTTCAGTTCATAAGATATATTCCTGGATCTAAAATCTTTTCATCACTGCACTTTGTAATTAAAATTAATTATTTTTTTTCACGAAAAGTTAAGACACTATATATTAAATTGATTATTCCATTTGTGGGATATTAATTTTGCAAATTACACACACGTGGTAGCATTTTTTTTATCTAAATTCATAGCAATCTTTCCGAAAATAACATGCATGATTTAATTATTACAAGCATTGTTATAAAAAAGTATCTGAGGATTATTAAAATGACAATATTCATGTGGTCGATCACGCTCACTTTGCCGTCGACCTGAACGTTTTTAATCGAATTACACTCCTTAGCATCATTAAATTTAAAATTTTCTTGTTGATCGAATCAAATCTGGTACGTTGAATAGTTGTTGGCTATCATAGTCTCTATATATCTTAATATTTACAAGAAATTGGTAATTTTAACATATTTACCTACTGTATTACCACGCTTGCTGTCTGCTGATTTGGATGTTTTCTATCAAATTAATAATGATTATGCTTCACCCGTCGGTTACCTTATGCAGTTGATGCTATCATCAAATGATAAATATATACACTGTATATTAAAATGTAAGTGTTTAATTCTTGTAGCACATTTTTACTCAACTTTTCCAATGATTTTCGGGTGAAATCTTTGAATTTATGTTAAAATATAGTTGTTTCCGTATAAATTTCTTTCGTCATGATGTGAATATTAACCATATTTTATAGTTTTTAAAATTTTCCTTTTGCAACACCCTGTATATTAATTTTCGTAACAGTACGTAGTAAATCGCCTTTATTTGTGAGTTTTGAGTGTTCTTTGTTTTAAACTTGGGGATTTTCCTTTTGAAACACCCTGTATAGTTGCTTTTCTTTGTGTCCGTGAAATTTTTCCTTCAGCTGTGGTTTTAGGACTTTCTTTTTGCACTCTAATTTTTTGTAACACCCTGTTTATTAGTTTCCCGGAGGGAGCATCGGGTAAAAACGACCAATATTTGTAGTGTTTGGATGTTTTCCTCTTTGATGGTTGCATTTTCTATTTGTGACACTTTGTATAATCGTTTTCCTTCCAATCCCAGAAAATTTTGCTTTGAATGTTATTAGAATTTAACTTTTAGCACTTTGAAAACGAGCGATATTTGAGTGTTTAGATGTTTTCTTGTCTGCACTTAAAATTTTTCTTTTGTAACACCCTGTATATCTGTTTCCATTTTTCCATCACCTAGAAAATGGACAATTTGCTAATTTCTTTATCCCGGTAGAACATTTTGACGTGTTACTTGCTTATATGTGCACGATGATGCAGGTCGTAAGTTCTGTGTCAATATGGCGGCATGTATATTGTTGAGTAGTAAAATCTAAACTTGTATTCTATTGTTAATAAAGAAATAGTAAGATATATTGACTTCCCTGATTTGTGTACCCCTTCTATCATTTCAGGTACAGGTCTCTAAGAGAGTTCCCTCTCAGGGGATGATCCCCACTATAAAAATTGTTAAGGTATCCTGTATGATTTGTGTACTCCATCTTTCATTTCAGCTACAGGTCAGATCTTATAAGAATATTTTTAAGTGTCCCCTCTCTTGAGGCGACTTAGAAACTTAGAAACTTAGAAATATCTAAACAAGTCCTTAAAAAGATGTCCTTATAAGGAGTTCCCTCTCCCTGGGGATGATCCCCCACCATAAAAATTGTTGATATGCCTGAGTATTTCGGGGATGAAGCGCAGAGGCATCGTAGCTGTAGGATGGGCCGGGAGCCATAGACACATCGAAGCAGTGGGCGATTGACCTGTGACTGTCTTATAACGACACGTGCCAAAAAATTTAAAAATCTGATCCACTCCTGTTGTTCTCTTTCTTCCATCTCCTCCTCCTCCTCTTCCCTACTCTGTTCTTTTCCTTCTGTCTTCTACTCTTTTCTCTGCTATTCCTTCTTCTACTTCTCCTATTTCTACGTTCTCATATTGCCTTCACTTGTATTGCAATTTCTCTTATATTTCATTTGAGTTCAAATATGCAACCCAAACTACACCTGTTATTTTTAATAATTGAGAAAAATGCCTTCTGTACCTGAGATTCGATCCGTGCCTACTAGCATGCCACCAGGTGCACGTCTCCACTCGACCACCGAGTGTTTTTATCATTGCTATTTAATTCTTTAATATATGTTTTGGTTTTTATCATGTTGAAAACAACACAATTCAAGCAACAGCAACGCATTGCATTATATACTATAGTAAATCTATTGGATTATCCGTTCTTTAGTTATAATGGAGTTAACCAACACGACTTTCTTTTATATATATATATACTAGTTAACCGGGCAAACGTTGTTTTGCCATATAAATTATTTCAAGTTTCTAGATAAATTTTAGTGTAGACAAAAAGTAACTTACTTATTATAAAAAATAGGGGTTGGTGATAAGAAACCAAAAATTGTATATTTTAATAAAATTAATTAAAACACATTAAAAAATAAAACAAAAAATTTCGACCAAAATTTAAAAAATTAAGGGTGAACAACCCTTATCACTTAGAGATATGAAGTTACCGATTCTCAGACCTACTGAATACGCATATAAAAATTTTCTTTGAGCGGGATGAAAAATGATTAAATTACTAAAATGGCTATAAAGAAATAGGGGTTGGTGATAAAAAACTAAAAATTTAGGGTTGTATGTATTTTTTAATTCCACATTATAAAAAAAAATAAAAACAAAAGAATTTGTCCAAAAATTTAAAAAAGTTAAGGGTGAACAACCCTTATCACTTAGGGTATGAAAAATAGATGTTAGCCGATTCTCAGACCTACTGAATACGCATATAAAATTTGGTAAAATCGGTAAAGCCGTTTCGGAGGAGTATGGAAACAAACACTGTGACACGCAAATTTTATATATGAGCCGTTTATTTTGAAAGTGACCTAACTCCGTTTTTCAAATTTTTGCCGGTTACCATGGTTACATGTACAACTTCATGTTATTTATCAGTGACGCACTTCAGATTGCTTATATTCAGAGAAAATACGGTACATTTTTTACACATAAGTTTTCCGAATTAATTGAATAACTGAGCCGTGCAGTTTGAAAGTGGCCTAACTCCATTTATAGTTACATCAAGATATTTACTATTGATAATGTCGGAAAGCAGCGATGAAGGTAATTTCAATTAATTAGTATTTACAAGTTCACCTTATTATTGGGACAATTGCGTTGGTTAATTAACCTGTACGTTTAATTAATATAAAACTTAAAATTTAATATTAAATTATAGAAATTATTGCACCCATGAGGAAGAACAGAAGAAGACCACTTACTTCAAATAGTGAAGAAGAAATAGTAATTAATAATTTAAAAAAAAGCGAATAAGAAAAAGAATTATAGAACAATATTCCTCGTCAGAGGATGAAGATTCAAATAACAATGGAGAAAAGAGTGATGCACCATATATCTAAAAAGTGCGAAAGATTAAACAGAATTCAGGAAAAAGATATTGCAGTCAAACCGGAAGTATTGTTCAAGAAAAAAATTTCGTAAACAAAGATTGTGGTTGTCGGAATGCGTGCACAAAAAATTATAATGAAGAAGAAAGAAAGAATATTTTTGAGAAGTTTGGGGGTTTGGCAGACTATAACAAACAAAATGTATTACTTCACGAAGCTGTCTGTGAAACGAAGACGTTTTGTTTTTCAATTTGTAACATCTTAAATTATGTTGAATGGACTTGGGCACCCTCGAATTTTATAATGAATCTGGCTGTTAATTTTGAAAGTGGCCCAACTCCATTCTTGATAAGGAAACGCACGTTATTTACTTAATAATTGCCACTATTTTAACAGGAACTTTAAATTTAACATCCTTAGATACGCTTAAGCAGTATGACTCCTTAGTATCTTATACCTATATTTTTAAATTCATTGAAACGCAAAACTTTCAATATCTCGATTTGAAGATAAATGGAGTTAGGCCACTTTCAAAATAAGCGGCTCATATATATTCAACAAAGAAATAAGAATTAGTTTATAACATTACAATGTGTTTTATTGACAACATTAAAAAATACATATATCATTCAAATAAAAAAAAAACATTGACGAACCTCAAATCTCGTAGCAGTAAAAACTTACCTTAAAATGTGCGCATCTCCAATACTTCTTTCATGGATATCGCTGATTTCATGACTCCCATACTCAAAAACTGGGCACCAACGTTGTCTATCAGCAGGAATTAATATTAAATCCAAGTTTTGCCAATATTCGAGAAGATAAACGACTGCCGATGAACACGCATGCGGCGCACATAAAGATCAACACAGTTGCAGATAATTCCACAACCGAATAATATCTAGCGACGGCCGGCCGAACGAACATCCCAAGCGCACAGACGAACCGATGATTAATTCGGGTTGCGCCACATTACCCTGTTACGAAAGGCCGATGAAGGCAATTACAGAATTAAAGTAAGAAACGCGAAAAGTCGCTACGAAGATCGACTGACGAACAAAACACGTGCTAACCGTAGCACAGCGCGCGATCGACTAAAGTGTAAAGAGAACTGATATCAGGCGTAAACAAAGCAGATAGCCCCTACCAGTACTATCTAAATAAGCAAGAAAACTGACGCGCTGCCCCGGCACAAGCAACATATCAGACACAATACAAAATTAAAAACATCAGGGTAGTATTTATTACTTTTGATTCATTCAATTTGACTTGAGTAACGCGCTGCTTGTGTTCCAAAAACCCTAAATAATTAAGTGAAATCCCTAAAACCAGCAAAAATTAGTCCTTCGAACATAAAAATGCAATTTTGATGGTTCATTTGTAAGATAATCACAAAAGTTATTTAGGAATACGATAAAGAAATTTAATACTTACAATCTGATGCAAGAATGGTCCTTCTACGATGTCAGACTCAGGTGCAAAATCCGTAAAACCACCAAATATTAGTCCTTCGCAACACAAAAATGCAATTTTAAGGGTTAATTCGTGAGATAATCAAAAATTTTATTGATGAAAATGATAGAGAAATTTAATATTTACCATCTGGTGTAAGAATGGTTCTTCTACGATATCGGATTCAGGTGGAAAATCCCTAAAACCACCAAATATTAGTAATTTGCAACACAAAAATACAATTTTAAGAGTTAATTCGTGAGATAATCACAAAATTTATTAATGAAAAGAAGAGAGAAATTTAATATTTATCATCTGGTGTAAGAATGGTTCTTCTACGATATCGGACTCAGGTGGAAAATTCCTAAAGCCATCAAATATTAGTCCTTCAAAACACAAAAATGCAATTATTAGCGTTAATTCGTGGGATAATCACAAAATTTATTTAGGAAAATCATAGGGAAAATTAATACTTACAATCTGGCGTAATAATGATTCTTCTACGATAACGGACTCAGGTGGAAAATCCCTACAACAATCAAAAATTAGTGCTTCAAAACACAAAAATCTAATTTTAGGGGTTAATTCGTGAGATAATCACAATATTTATTCATGAAAATGATAGAGAAATTTAATACTCACAATCTGATGCAAGAATGGTTCTTCTATGATATCGGGCTCAGGTCGAAAATCCCTAAAACAATCAAAAGTTAGTGCTTCGAAACACAAAAATCCAATTTTAGGGGTTAATTCGTGAGATAATCACAAAATTTATTGCTGAAAATGATAAAGAAATTTAATACTGACAATCTGATGCAAGAATGATTCTTCTACAATATTGGGCTCAGGTCGAAAATCCCTAAAACAATCAAAAATTAGTGCTTCCAAACACAAATATCTAATTTTAGGGGTTAATTCGTGAGATAATCACAAAATTTATTAATGAAAATGACAGAGAAATTTAATATTTATCATCTGGTGTAAGAATGGTTCTTCTACGATATCGGACTCAGGTGGAAAATCCCTAAAATAATCAAAAATTAGTCCTTCGCAACACAAAAATGCAATTTTAGAGGTCAATTCGTGAGATAATCACAAAATTTATCTATGGAAATGGTAGAGATATTTAATACTCACAAATTGATGCAAGAATTGTTCTCCTATGATATCGGGCTCATGTCAGAAATCCCTAAAACAATCAAAAATTAGTGCTGTGAAACACAAAAATCCAATTTTAGCGGTTAACTCGTGAGATAATCACAAAATTTATTTATGAAAATGATAGAAACATTTAATACTCACAATCTGATGCAAGAATGGTTCTTCCATGATATTGGGCTCAGGTCGAAAATCCCTAAAACAATAAAAAATTAGTGCTTCAAAACGCAAAAATCCCATTTTAGCGGTTAACTCGAGAGATAATCACAAAATTTATTGCTGAAAATGAAATTTAATACTCACAAATGAATGCAAGAATTGTTCTTCTATGATATCGAGCTCATGTCCAAAATCCCTAAAACAATCAAAAATTAGTGCTTGAAAACACAAAAATCCAATTTTAGCGGTTAACTTGTGAGATAATCACAAAATTTATTTATGAAAATGATAGAAACATTTAATACTCACAATCTGATGCAAGAATGGTTCTTCTATGATATGGGGCTCAGGTCAAAAATCCCTAAAACAATCAAAAATTAGTGCTTCAAAACGCAAAAATCCAAGTTTAGGGGTTAATTCGTGAGATAATCACAAAATTTATTCATGAAAATGATAGAGAAATTTAATACTCACAAATGAATGCAAGAATTGTTCTTCTATGATATCGAGCTCATGTCCAAAATCCCTAAAACAATCAAAAATTAGTGCTTGAAAACACAAAAATCCAATTTTAGCGGTTAACTTGTGAGATAATCACAAAATTTATTTCTGAAAATGATAGAAACATTTAATACTCACAATCTGATGCAAGAATGGTTCTTCTATGATATTGGGCTCAGGTCAAAAATCCCTAAAACAATCAAAAATTAGTGCTTCAAAATGCAAAAATCCAAGTTTAGGGGTTAATTCGTGAGATAATCACAAAATTTATTCATGAAAATGATAGAGAAATTTAATACTCACAAATGAATGCAAGAATTGTTCTTCTATGATATCGAGCTCATGTCCAAAATCCCTAAAATAATCAAAAATTAGTGCTTTGAAACACAAAAATCCAATTTTAGCGGTTAACTTGTGAGATAATCACAAAATTTATTTATGAAAATGATAGAAACATTTAATACTCACAATCTGATGCAAGAATGGTTCTTCTATGATATTGGGCTCAGGTCAAAAATCCTAAAACAATCAAAATTAGTGCTTCAAAACGCAAAAATCCAAGTTTAGGGGTTAATTCGTGAGATAATCACAAAATTTATTCATGAAAATGATAGAGAAATTTAATACTCACAAATGAATGCAAGAATTGTTCTTCTATGATATCGAGCTCATGTCCAAAATCCCTAAAACAATCAAAAATTAGTGCTTGAAAACACAAAAATCCAATTTTAGCGGTTAACTTGTGAGATAATCACAAAATTTATTTATGAAAATGATAGAAACATTTAATACTCACAATCTGATGCAAGAATGGTTCTTCTATGATATGGGGCTCAGGTCAAAAATCCCTAAAACAATCAAAAATTAGTGCTTCAAAACGCAAAAATCCAAGTTTAGGGGTTAATTCGTGAGATAATCACAAAATTTATTCATGAAAATGATAGAGAAATTTAATACTCACAAATGAATGCAAGAATTGTTCTTCTATGATATCGAGCTCATGTCCAAAATCCCTAAAACAATCAAAAATTAGTGCTTGAAAACACAAAAATCCAATTTTAGCGGTTAACTTGTGAGATAATCACAAAATTTATTTATGAAAATGATAGAAACATTTAATACTCACAATCTGATGCAAGAATGGTTCTTCTATGATATTGGGCTCAGGTCAAAAATCCCTAAAACAATCAAAATTAGTGCTTCAAAATGCAAAAATCCAAGTTTAGGGGTTAATTCGTGAGATAATCACAAAATTTATTCATGAAAATGATAGAGAAATTTAATACTCACAAATGATTGCAAGAATTGTTCTTCTATGATATCGAGCTCATGTCCAAAATCCCTAAAACAATCAAAAATTAGTGCTTTGAAACACAAAAATCCAATTTTAGCGGTTAACTCGTGAGATAATCACAAAATTTATTTATGAAAATGATAGAAACATTTAATACTCACAATCTGATGCAAGAATGGTTCTTCCATGATATTGGGCTCAGGTCGAAAATCCCTAAAACAATAAAAAATTAGTGCTTCAAAACGCAAAAATCCAAGTTTAGGGGTTAATTCGTGAGATAATCACAAAATTTATTCATGAAAATGATAGAGAAATTTAATACTCACAAATGAATGCAAGAATTGTTCTTCTATGATATCGAGCTCATGTCCAAAATCCCTAAAACAATCAAAAATTAGTGCTTGAAAACACAAAAATCCAATTTTAGCGGTTAACTTGTGAGATAATCACAAAATTTATTTATGAAAATGATAGAAACATTTAATACTCACAATCTGATGCAAGAATGGTTCTTCTATGATATGGGGCTCAGGTCAAAAATCCCTAAAACAATCAAAAATTAGTGCTTCAAAACGCAAAATCCAAGTTTAGGGGTTAATTCGTGAGATAATCACAAAATTTATTCATGAAAATGATAGAAAATTTAATACTCACAAATGAATGCAAGAATTGTTCTTCTATGATATCGAGCTCATGTCCAAAATCCCTAAAACAATCAAAAATTAGTGCTTGAAAACACAAAAATCCAATTTTAGCGGTTAACTTGTGAGATAATCACAAAATTTATTTATGAAAATGATAGAAACATTTAATACTCACAATCTGATGCAAGAATGGTTCTTCTATGATATTGGGCTCAGGTCAAAAATCCCTAAAACAATCAAAATTAGTGCTTCAAAATGCAAAAATCCAAGTTTAGGGGTTAATTCGTGAGATAATCACAAAATTTATTCATGAAAATGATAGAGAAATTTAATACTCACAAATGATTGCAAGAATTGTTCTTCTATGATATCGAGCTCATGTCCAAAATCCCTAAAACAATCAAAAATTAGTGCTTTGAAACACAAAAATCCAATTTTAGCGGTTAACTTGTGAGATAATCACAAAATTTATTTATGAAAATGATAGAAACATTTAATACTCACAATCTGATGCAAGAATGGTTCTTCTATGATATTGGGCTCAGGTCAAAAATCCCTAAAACAATCAAAATTAGTGCTTCAAAACGCAAAAATCCAAGTTTAGGGGTTAATTCGTGAGATAATCACAAAATTTATTCATGAAAATGATAGAGAAATTTAATACTCACAAATGAATGCAAGAATTGTTCTTCTATGATATCGAGCTCATGTCCAAAATCCCTAAAACAATCAAAAATTAGTGCTTGAAAACACAAAAATCCAATTTTAGCGGTTAACTTGTGAGATAATTACAAAATTTATTTATGAAAATGATAGAGAAATATAATACTCACAATCTGATGCAAGAATGGTTCTTCTATGATATCGGGCTCAGGTCGAAAATCCCTTACACAATCAAAAGTTAGTGCTTCGAAACACAAAAATCCAAGTTTAGGGGTTAATTCGTGAGATAATCACAAAATTTATTCATGAAAATGATAGAGAAATTTAATACTCACAAATGAATGCAAGAATTGTTCTTCTATGATATCGAGCTCATGTCCAAAATCCCTAAAACAATCAAAAATTAGTGCTTTGAAACACAAAAATGCAATTTTAGCGGTTAACTCGTGAGATAATCACAAAATTTATTTATGAAAATGATAGAGAAATTTAATACCCACAATCTGATGCAAGAATGGTTCTTCTATGATATCGGGCTCAGGTCGAAAATCCCTAAAACAATAAAAAATTAGTGCTTCAAAAAACAAATATTTAATTTTAAGGGTTAATTCATGACATAATCACAAACCTTATTTATGAAAATGATAGAGAAATTTAATACTCACAAATTGATGCAAGAATGGTTCTTCTATGATATCGGGCTCATGTCAAAAATCCCTAGAACAATCAAAAATTAGTACTTAGAAACACAAAAATCCAATTTTTGAGGTTAATTCGTAAAGTAATAACAACATTTATTTATGAAAATGGTAGAGAAATTTAATACTCACAATCAGATGCAAGAATGGTTCTTCTATATCGGGCTCAGGTCGAAAATCTTTAAAACAATCAAAAATTAGTGCTTCGAACAAACAAAATTTCAATGTGTGTGATTCTTTCATGAACCAATCACAACAGTAATTTATTAAGTTATTTCAACCTTTTATTGCGGATTCCTCAAAAAGACGTAATAGTGAAGGCTTTATCTTAAAAAATATGCGCAAGTTTAGTTTAGTGACACTTTCTCCCATATGCGTCCAGTTTTGCAAATATTTGCAGGCAAAATTATAAGTGAATTTACTGAAACTGATTATCATTCTTCAACTAGTTTCACTACACGTTTACGAAAAAGAACTAAATATTAAGGTAAGTGAACATCAAGTTTACAATCAAGTTAAGCGGGAACAAAATTATATTAAATTAACAAAAACAAAAAAACATACTTAATGTAAACGTACAATCTAGTCATGTATGAAATGAGCAACAAAAAACTTTATTTTATATTTAAACAAAAATTCTTACGTGTATTTGGTTGCCTAGGTGTCTAAATCATTAAGTCAAAAACCATTAAAAACCTAACCGTAAAGAATTTTTATTCCGTATAAAGAATTATATATATATTTTAAAGAATTTTATCTATTTTATCAAATAATTTCCTGTTAACCAGCAGCAAACGCGAACCATTATGTCCATCGAAGACTTTTCACACGATAAAGCACTACTTAATATTTTAAAATGCTGCAAAACACTTCCTGAATTTCTGGATACAATATTTGGTTTCCTAAAGCGAAAGTATGTATAAATACGGTTGGATAGTTCTCTCACATCTTAATATTGTCGGGATTTGTTTATTTTAGTACTGATTTTTACGAGATTTCCGATTCACAAAACTCAAACATGGGACTCCCTCCTCAAATGGCAGAAAACATTGTGAAAACTGCCTTTTTCAAGTGGAGAATGTCTCAGAAAGGAAGAATTCCTCCTTCAGATGCGCCTCCAATATCCAGCAGTGAAGCTGAATTAACTGGTATTCCAAATGAAGCAATTGCAAGTTCTAGTATGGCTCCAAATGAGTCAAAGAAGCAAAACCTCTGTTTTATTTCAGCTGAATGTTACAATGGAGCTGTTACAGACCAGTACATGTGGTCACAAACAATAAATGATCTGGATGTTGCTATCGCCTTGGATGGAAACGTTTTACCTAAGCATTTGGTTGTGGAGCTCCATGCAAAACATATTTTGGTTAAGAATAAACTAACACAACAAACTGTTTTAATAGGGGATTTGCCACATTCTGTAAAACATTCAGAGGCAATTTGGTGGGTTACTGCCCAGAAACTGGAGATTCACCTAGACAAGATGCAGGAGAGATGGTGGGATAGACTGTTCACCCATGAAAAACCACTTGATGTATCGAAGCTAGATTGTTCTCGACCTTTCAACGAATTATCAGATGAAGCTCAAGCGAAGATTGAAGAGCTGCAGTACAATCAGGATCGTTGGCGGCAGGGTTTGGCGTCGAGACCGCACAAAACAATGGAGTCGACCCTGAAGGAAGCCTGGAATGCAAAAGGATCACCTTTTAGTGGTTCATATGATTGTAGCAAGGTGATTCTCGAAAACTAGAAGGTATATCTGAAAATAATCTCCAATTTACACGCTTGCTGTTTATATTTTAACTTTTCAATCATGTATGATGTATGCGATTTGATAGCAATAAAAGGGGTTGTTTCTTGTTTTATATAAAACGAAATGATGCGACATTTTAATTATCTTTAACAATAAAAACGAGATATTGAAACTTTTGTTGTTACAACCTATTCCTAATCAACATTCTTTTTCACCATTTTTGTGTAAATAAAGCTATTTATTTAAAGCTTTATATCTTTTTTGTTTGAGTTTTGAGGAATCGCTGTCGAAAGACAGGTTCGAACGTTTTTGTTTAAATTATTTCTTTAAGGTATTGTTGGTCCAAATCATTTAAACTCTTGATTCCATAATATTGAACAGAATGTGATTTTGAATACTTTGTCTTAAGATGTGTCGTTTTGATATTCATTATAATTCAATTCATTTTTGTGCAAATACCAAATTTTCTTTAAAATTGTTAATAAGGCCTAAACGATCTGTGTTAGAACGAAATTGTTTTTAAATAAATTAAGTAGAATTCAACAAACTATCAGAATCCAAAATCAGAATTTAAAAATTCTAATTTAACTTTTGATTAGAAAAATGCAAGAGTTTTGCCTTTTTTATGACAAAATCTTATCACCGGGTTCTTCACACGGATTTTATGGCATACATTAAAATTGTGAATTTAGAATTTCTTCCTTCAGATTCCTTCAGATATTTAAGGCTCAATCGACACTCGTGATTCAAATCAAATTTAACAGTTTTATGAAAATATTTTATAAATGATACGTCTAAATACAATAATGTACTAAAATATTTTATTCAGTAAATTGTCTTCTTTTATAATCTAAAATTAAAATGTATTATTATTTAATTTATAAAAAAATGCTAATAATTAACGAAAATGTGGCGGAGGCGCCTGACATTTTATTAAGTGGTTCTAATTATTTTTGATAACTAATAAAATCATTATATAGACGAACTTTTAATTACATTCTAAATATATGTTTTTACTTATAGTATATACCGTTTACCCTGCAGACGCATTTAAGGGAAACGTGTACTTTCAGCAATATTTAAATACCGCTTATCTCAGAAACTAACAGTGATAATCAAAAACGGAAAACTGCATTGCGATCAGCAAACACTTCTACATATGATCAGATTATAAAATTTTTACTTTTGAGACAGTGAAAAACAATTTTCCGCCGCGATTTTCTCGGAAACTATAAACGTTACCGCAAATGTGTTTGCATTTTTTCATGACACGATAACGTTTTATAAAATGGCAGATTTAGTTTTTTGATTCTTAGAAGTTGACCAAAACCCCCTCAAAATTAGTCAAGAGGTTACACTTGACTATTTTTTGGCTCAAAAATTATTTTTTATGTTAAAAGAAAATGGAAAACGCCAATCGATAGAGAATTACAAGGGGATCAAAGATATCCAGTAAATTTTCCGATAACGCCATTATTTCGGAAAAACATATTAAATTGAACAACACTTGAGATTTTTAACAAACTTTCAAACACCAAGTAGAATCAAGTCAGAAGTCCATTAATCTGGTTTTTGTTCCGCTATCTGAATTAGATTTCAAGTTATTGATCATTACCAATAATTGCGCAAGTGCAGCAAACAGGAAAATTTGAAGTGTTATATGATGTAGAATTCCTTTCTGCATACGGATATGAAAACCATTTTGGTATAGTTTTATTTATTAGTTTTCGAGAAAAATGCAAAAAACTGGATTATTCATTTTTTCTACTATTCATATGCAAAAAATAAATATTTAAAAATTGCACTTTTTATCACCAAAATCACAAGAAAACGTATTCCTGAATACTTTATCTTATTCACATTTTATTATCAGATTAATGGTTTAGATAATATGTATTTTTAAAAGTTTGACCCTGGACAGGGTCAGTTTGTTCCTGTCGTTCACCAAAATGGGAAAAATATTGGTATAAGAAGCGTGTGCATAAAAGTGTATATAAAGTGTATCATTCCACTTACAAGTCTAAGATTTGACTGTAATATAAAGGTAGTATTGGATAGCTAGGAAGAAAATTCCAGCTAACCACATGCTTTAGGCGCATTTATTTTTACATATCTATTAATACCCATTCATGCTGTCTTCACAAACCTGAAGCATGTTATAAATCAGGTGCTATAAAGTAGAACAGTGTAACGTGGTGCTTGCCATTAGATCATTTGACTTTGTTATTATGGAAGTTCTTTACAAAGTGGCATTTAGCGAGCCTTTGGGCCGGTAAAACAAAAGGTTTTCCTCAATCATTTTACTTTATTTGTTCATTTTTTAGTTATCTGATAGCGTCACGTAATATTAAACAAGGCGAGATAATAATGAAAGAAAAACCCCGATTACTCGGTAGTCAAATCGCTGCGTTTCCCATTTGTTTCAAATGTGCATCGAGAATATACACATCGTCGCCGCCTCCATGCAACGAATGCGGATTAGCGCCAACCTGCGGGCAGTGTCAAGGTACTCTGCACAAAAAAGAATGTATCTACATGAGGAAAATGAAAGAAAATGTAAGCGGCATGACATTGCAGTTCCTTTGCGAGAATCCACAAGTAACGATGCCACTAAGATGTCTGCTGATGAAATATTATGATCAAGACTTTTGGAAAGAGTTCATACAATTGGAGTGCCACTTAAAGGAGCGCCGCGGTACATACATCTATAATTTACACAAGTACCAGGTAGATAAACCTCTGAGGGACGCCAAAATAATTCAGGACTTACAAGATAGCGATGTGCATGCCGATATTTTGCCCACCATTTGCGGTATTTTAGATGTAAACATTTTTGAAGTACGTCCTCCTCAAGGCGTACAGGGACCAGAAGATTGCCTTAGAGGACTCTATCTTACGCCGGCTCTAATGGCGCATGATTGCTTATGTAATACTCACCTCAGTGTTGATGATGACTTCATGATGACCATTCGCGCATCTCTTCCAATCAACGAAGGGGATATGATTACATTTAGCTACACTAATGGTCTTCAAGTAACAAGAAAAAACCTATTTTTCAATCTAAGTTAATAACTACACCTAAAAATGTTGTAGGGAAACTTTGACAGACAAAATCATCTCCAGCAAGGCAAATACTTTACATGTGCATGTCGACGATGTCTTGATCCTACCGAGTTGAACACTGGCTTGAGTACACTAATTTGCCCAAAGTGTAGGCATGCCACCATGATTTTTAAGCATAAACAATGGCAGTGTCCACAGTGTAGTAAAAACTATAGTAATCGCATGATACGTACCACATTAGCATTAGCCAAAGATAAGGTCTCAAATATCCTAGAATTTGGTACCTTGAAAAATGCAAAACAACTTGTTAGTACCCTGCAGAGAACACTGGGCACTCATCACAGTCTCATAATCGAAGTAAATCAAAAAATCATTTCACTCTTAAGCCAGGAACCAGATATGACTTCAACTTTAGAGAAAATTGCTTTGTGCAAAGACCTCTCTAAAATATTACAGGTTTTAGAACCTGGAATATCTAGACATCAAGGTAAAGCATGCTGAGGAATCCGGTACCATTTGATACTAACAATATTGTTACAATGTTTAAAGGTATAGCACAATATGAACTTCATAAGGCCCAAACACACCTCGGTAAAGTCCAATGCAATTCCTCACAGATCACTTTGGATCAATACTGTAGCATTTTAAAGGAAAGTGAAGGAATTCTAAAGGGTGCAATAGGACACTTAATTTACGAGCCGAAAAGCACGCCTGAAGGACGTCTTGCACAGAAAGCTCTAACGGACCTGCAAGTCCTGCGTGCGTCCGTTAAAGACCTGGAAGTCAAGATCCAAAAGAACACCAAGACGCACAAATAAACAAATAAATTTACTAGACAATTCGTAAGTAAAGGCCAGTTTCCAAGACAAAGTAGTGCTTGTATTTAATTCTATACATCAAACCTAACTTCACAATATAAAGATTACAAATCAAATAGCATTTTTTTTTCATCGATTTTCCGCGGTGTCAAAAATTAGATGATATTATGTTACCGTATTTATGCTTTATTTTAATTTTTAAATATTTATACAATGTTATGTAATAAATTACTTATCTTCAGCTCACTGTTACTTTATTTTATTTATTTTATTGTAGTTATTTCTTCTGCGTCTAGTCATCGATTTTTAGCCGGTGATAACTCACATTTAGTCTTCGTTTGGTCTGGATTAGAACCTATTTTATGTTATTATTTGCATTGATTTGCATTTCTTTATTAAAAACTACATCTACCTATCACATTCATGGAATACCCAAGTTTACTACTGCCTACATGAAAATACATGTATACAACACCCCAATACCATAAATTTAGTTGAAAATTCATAAGTCAAAGGTTTTCTTGATTTCAGTCGATTTAAAGCCTGATTTGTCGACTTCGAATTTAATCGCGTCACGTTGAACGTTACAGTTCTAAATTAAGTCTTTCAATCTTGGCATAAGTTTCACTTCTTGGAACTTATAAATGAATGCTTGAATTGTTTCTGGAAATCAAAAATGAATTAAATCTCGGAATGCAAATACGCACAAAACACAGTCTGTTGATGCGTGAAAACTAATGCTAATGTGAATGTGCGTGCTCTAGGTCATCGAAAACATCGGAATACATCAGATCACATCGAGAACAACAGCAACTAAGGAAACACAATTAACAACTATCCCACTTTGCTAAACCCTCTAAGTCTCATCTAAGTTCGCTTGCTTCTATATTCTTCGACTTACGAAATGCATCGGTATCGATCACATGTACTTAATCAAATGTAAATGAATAAAATGTATAATACAAACAACAAAAATAAACTATTACAAAATAACTCCTCAGTTACATACGATATTACACGTAATATAAGGAAGTAAAACTGGAAGAACTCTCAATCAAATTTGGAGATGATTGAATTCAACATCAACTAAACACAACTGGATAACGTAATTCGGGGGAAGAAATCTCGCACAATTCTACAATTACCCCATTGAACTTGGACAGTTGAGTGTGGTAAACGAATTGCTTTGTTTATACGAGAGTTGACTTATGCCCTAAGCATCACATTAATTATACTTATGTCCTTTTGTGTGTGTCTTTAGTAATAAATGCTGACCCTCGGTTTAGTTCTTTGCACTTTAATTTTTGGTATCGTTTCGGTTTGCACCTGCTTTCGAATATTTTAAATATTTATTCGGGCAAGCGCGGATCCATTCCTGGCACTAGGATGTCTTCCATGTTAGGTAACAGTAAAACTTTCTGTAAAACAAACCACAAGCAAATGGTTTAGATGCAGGAGAAACAAATCTAAGAAAATCTTACCAAAAACTCTTTGTAGACTCGTTTCTCAATCCATGTGCTGACTTTGTTGAAATTCCAATTTTTCTCGCCTACAACTGGATGCGCTGTCAATTGTAGTTTGGGCATCGGCGCAGATCGAAAACCAAACCAGATCCGATCAGATGGCGGCGGTGGGACGTTTACCACCAGGCATCCTTTCAGCGCCTTCAGCTCCAACTTTAATCCAACGTCTGTATTAGATACTCCCTCAATCGCCTTCTTTATGTACTTATTTTCAGTAGCACGTTGAAAGAATTTAGATTCGGCAAACCGGTCGACCATCGTCATGAACTTTTTATTTTGTTTACTCGCGCCTCCAAGGCCCGGTACCGGATACCCGGATTCGTCAAGGGGAGTATGAGCGGCGCTTTTGACTCTTTCGTCGTCTGACGAACTTTCTGCGGTATCCTCGACGTCAGAATGGTAAATGGCGGACTTTGTGTTGGAGCCAGTTGCCGTAGGTGACTCCATGCCGTTGCGATGGGACTCGCCTTGTTGTTTGAGTTTGAGCAGGTTCAGCTTGGTGAGCACCATGATAATGACAGATCCTTCGTAGCTAAGATCAAAGTCTATCCAAAGGCCCCAATCGTCAAGATAGGGTTTGCCTATCTTGCACACCTTAGGAGCAAAGTTTCCAAAAGTCAGTTCGGTCATTCGCAGTGATTCGATAAAGATGGGGAGTTTTATAGCGGCTAATTTTCGTGCGATACGATCTTGAATCATCTTGATAACCTGGTCGCTCTGATGAAAATCGAAAACCATACGATAGATCATTGTATTGAGCCATTGCAGGTCCAGATTAGGAGATAATGTTGTGCAATCTTCGATTTCCATCGACTGCCGGGACCTTCTCCCTCGCAGAGAAGTTTCTGAAGTCCTCAATGAGGACGCACTCGAATAATACGCCATGAACATGCTGTACGTACCACCAGATTCAATTGGATTCAAAATGGGTGACATTATTTTTAAGTACTTGGAATAATAGTGCGTGTCGTCTTTAACAATGTCACTAGCGGAGTCCTGACTCGCCGTGCCATCTGAGTGCCCCAGTCGATGCGTGGCGCGTTTAAATCGGCGATACCAATGTTCTTTCTCGCGATCTGTTCGCGCAAAAATGTAAATACATGTTTGGTCGACGGGATCATGCAAAAACGCCAGATCCATTTGAGGATCAACAGTTTCCTGCGTGTCGAAAAAGGACACCTCGTCCTCCAACAACTCGTCGTCATTCTGCATGGAGATTTCATCGGCGGAAGTGGTGGTTACTGCATGAACTTCGTCCTCCTCTTTTGCCAACTCGAAGTAGCTATTGTCTTCATTATCGACGGCGGATTCCTCAATCAGTTTACTGAATATTTGTGTGCCGGATGATTCTGAGGTAATGGTTGAGGAACCCTTACTAGAAGCCACTTCTTTGGCAAGGTCCGTTTCGGGGCTGGCCTTTTTGTCTTTGTCGGGGTGATCATAACAAAGTTGGTCTTTATTAAGGATAATGCAGATCGGATACTTTTTACTCCAATGTCTACACAAACAATAGATTAATTATATTTTTCGCATGAGAAAGGAATGAAGACACTTCATACCTGATTTTGGTTAATCCAAGAGGCAGTAAAACGATCTCTGCTGCAAGCAGATTGTAAATTCGATGTCTGGAAAAACTCATCTTGTGCTCGGCCTCGTTGTAAGACGCCCGTTTCGGAATTTTCCCCCGCGCGTTGCTGATCTTCAACAGGTTACCCTGCAGCCGCAGGTAGACGCTCTGCGTTTGCGATATGTGGTACGTGTATGGGTCGTACACCTCCGGGTACTCATTTACCCAACCCTGATATTTGAGCGTGGGTCGCTCCTCTTTAACGGGCTGTATTTCGACGAACTCCTCCTGCTTAACATCTACCGAGCGCCTTTGCTGACCATCACTGTGATTGTTATTAACTTCGTTTTGATACGGCGTACCTAGCTCCACTAATTTCGTATAGATATAAGCAGCGGTGTACATCAAGATGCTGCCAGTGATGAAGCCGCTCATGTAAGTACTCAGCGGCAAGATAAGGTACGCGATGAGAACAATGGTCACATAGCAGCCAATTCGATTACGGTAAAAATACTGCCAGTTAGTATCGGGCTCGGGAGGCGGACGCAAGTCAACAAATCCCATTGGCGAGAAAACCGTCGTCTCTTGGGTGGCGTCTTTGTCAAAATATCCTTTGCGAATGTCTTCACCCGATATCTGAGTGATATTGATTTGATCTATATCTACATCTATGTTATCTGTGGGCAAAAACAACAGGTCTAGGTCGTCAAAAATAACTAAAATATGCTCAACCCACCTATTTGTGCTAAAACATCAACACCACTCTCAACATCCGATTGGTCGATCTCAATGCCCATGTTAATCTTCTGCAAGTCGTCAAGGAATCCAACAGTCGTCGTCTTCGTTTCCTTCTTGCCATCTTTGTTGACAACGGTGATATTTCGTTTCTGTTTGCTGCCATGCTTTGAATTACTTTTTGAACCACCAGCGTTGTTATCCTTGTCGTCCTTCTTATCGGATAGGGACGTGGTGCCTTCATCATCGCTTGACATCTCTACACCTAATAATTCATAAATTATAAGTATCCCATCCATCCCAATTGGAATGCTGCGTGAAATAACGATTACCTTCAGTCGTAGAAACAATGCCGCATGTCCTTGAAATACTACTTTCGCTCAGCTCCTCCGAATCGGACAAGCTGGAGCAATCTTTTTCCTTACTGCCTTCTTTCGAATCGCGAGCAACTGTTTCTTTTGTGTCCTTCGAACCTAACTCTTTACATTCCTTGCCTTCCTTGATAGTTTTCGAAGATCTCTTTGGCGATGCACCTTCTCCTTCGCTGGAGCGAGTCTTGTATTCGGTAATCTTTCCTTCGACGCTCTTCGTTATCTTTCCCTAAAAGATTTCAAGAGAATTCAATGAATGTGGACAAATTATTCATTTAAATATGTTACTTTAATATCACTGAAAAACCGCCAAGGATCAGACGGGGGCGACAAATCGACCGTTGACACGTCTACGCTCGTTGACCTCTTGCCCAGCTTGTTGGACTTGTAGGGGCTGCTTTCAACGTCGCTGGCGGCTGTAAATAATTTTAGCATTTTTGTCAGTTTTCGCCGCACATATTCAGGCGGCATCTGATGTAATTTGGCCAGCCCGCGAGGGGCCCGGACACCGGAGCAGCACACAAATTTTACGTGTCAAATCAAAACAACGTCACGAATAAATAACACAAAACAAAATCCGAGAAACGCCAAAACGTACCTTTAGCTGGTGTGTCAATGGAGAGTTCATCGTGGTCCTCGTCCGTGGCGTACAGCTCTTCGATTTCCTCCGCCGTAGCATTGAAGCGAAAGCTTGGCACTGACGAATTTATTGGTTTCCCTACGCTCACCGAAAGTTCAATTACCGCAAGTCATACAGAAAAAAAAACACACACAGGCTACCAAACAAAACAAGTAAAAATAATTCGTTTAAAAATAATCGCTACCAAATTTGTCCAAATGTCGTTACCTTTAAGCATGCTGAGAGTGATTTTAGGCTTTTTATACCCCTCCATGTTTGTTAGGCTTATAGCTTAAGATTAGCGGTATTAATTGGTAAGTTATTGGTTGGTTTGGGTTGCAAGATTAATCTGAAAGTCGGAAAAATACGAGGAGTTACAAATGCACAAGCTATATGACAGTATCGACGAGCAGGCAATCAAAAATCAAAAACTAAAGTGCAAATTGAGCAAAAAATACCCGATTAACAAAAAAATACTCAATGATAAAATACAGCGCATGAGTAATGTAATTATGCCAACATCAATTCAACATTGAATCAAAGGTTGGCATGCGCTAAATCATCATCGAGGCAATAAAAACATATTAAAGTTGAGCAATGTTACATCATATGAATCAGCGATGGATATAATTGCAGTGTTTTCAATGATGAAAATGTTACAAACATGTTTTCGGATCAAACAAATTCTTCAATGCAGGAATGTGTCCTGCACGTGTGCTACGAAAGTGGCACCAGCGTGGCTTACTTCGGTTTACAGGCAATTATTGATTACAGTTTAGTTGCTGTAAACACTTCGGTGCACGACAAGTAGTGGTAAATGTTGGTAAGGCAAGACATTTAAGTAATCGATATGGCTTACCACTTCACCACAACATTAGACGCTTCTTACATTCGGTATCAGGCGTCAAGGCTTGAATAAACGAAATGTTTATTTAGAATATGGGACATGGATTTCATCGTCCAATGTGCGCATTCTAATGGAATCATTTTTATTATTATTATTATGCGTATCGCGGTTTCACCTTTGTCAGCCATCATTAGTTGACTCAACTTATGATAACAAAATAGTTTCACTGATTTCAACTAAATAAAATGTTTACAGTGTGCAAATAATACCAGCAAACTAGATTAACAAGTTTATTGTTCGTTGTGATGAAATGTTTCTGCGTTATTATTTACAAAACGTAGGATTAAAGCAAGTCAAGGCGACTTAAGTCACAAAAAACAAGTGCATTGTATTTTTACAACAAAAAAATTAATCTTTACAAGTCCATAAATCAGTGGAAAACTCAAAACAAAATCAACATTTCATTACTTTCATTGTTTTTATTTACATTGGCATGTAGAAAACATTAGTGCGTACTTTGCAGACCGGAAACAAAGCATGAGTGCCATGACAAAGCGAAGAACAAAGAGGATCAATCACAACAGAAAAGCATGTGCGGATGCAGCAGGAGGAGGCGGCAGGTGCAGGAAGTCATATCGCGCACGTACCTTTTCGGTGGTTATCATTCTGCGCCATAACGTGGCTTTGCATCGCTGCTCGCACCGCAGTCGTCACTCTGGGGCTCCGGTCGGCTCTCACTGCGAGCGCCGCATGGCTGTGATAACCGTCGCCTCGTTCCCGTCACGTTGTTATCAGCGCGTGCATTGTTCCGCGCGCGGCCGCGCCAGGTACCTGGACCAATACTATCCGCCGCGTCCGTGACTCATCGCAGTACGCGCGGGCGGACGCTACTTCGGCGTCGCGCTTGCCAAAATAAAAAAACGCTCCCGGTTTTCTCCTTGCGCACTGAATGCACAATACTGCTGGGGTCGCGCGACGATCAACACAAATGATCAGCTGCTGTCAGCAGTGACAATCAGCTGGAGGTCGCGTGGAGTAGGAGGAATGCGCAGGAATCCCCGGCGTCCTCGGAGTTTATCCACGCGCATGCGCAGCACATCGCAGCGCTTCCAAAACGGAACTTTCAAACAAGCAAATTTCCCACTTGATGCTGATGATCGTGAATCCATTCGCGACGCGCAATTAATGCTAATGATTATGAAGAATTGCCGACCGTGATTATGCAATCAGCAAGACGGACAATGGGCAGTTTTTTATTTTTATGTTTCACACGTGTGCAAAATTACCCAGCACTGATTGAGTCTATATTCGCAGTTTTTATTATTAACAAATCAAATTTATTAAGAATTATCTTCACGAATTAATCGCCCACACAGTCAACACGCGATAATCATTATTATCCGCAAATTAAGCAATAAATAATAAAGAAAAAATAGGCATGATGCACATACGCACAATTATGAGGAATTGCATCTCCCAGAAATCGACATATTTGTTAAGACGTTATGGAAATGTAAATACCACGGATTTATGTTAATTACTGTCGTACCTTGTAGAAAACCACGATTGCGTCATGACCATTATCCCGATTTGCCATGTCGTGACCAGTATTTTCGCACTTCGAACGTGAATCAAAACGCTTATAAAAGCTGCATATCTGATGTGGCCAAGTCAGTTTCACAATGTTCGTGATATTGTTGGCGGCGGCGCTTCTAGGCGCCACTAGTTCCCAGAGGTATCATCCAACGATTGTATTACTAGGTGATACTGGGATTAACACTCCCATCACTGAAGATGAAGTCAACTCAAATGTGATCCCTGCGGCGGAACAGTCCTTCGCAACATCCGGAAATCTGATATCTTTCATTCCTCAGTATGTCGCTCGTGATCGGGTAATAGCTGCAAATGTTGAATCATAAAAGATGGCTAATCAAAGTAAATGATTTATTTTCATAGGAATTGCGGGGTGACTCCTTTTATGAATCCGTTAAGAACGACGAATATAAAGCATTGCGGCCAAAGAGGTCGGCATATCGTGGTTATGGTGGGAATTCAGGCGGCGGCGGCGGCGGCGGCGGTTTTGGAGGAGGCTTCGGCGGTGGATTTGGTGGCGGTGGCGGCGGCGGAGGAGGAGGATTCGGCGGTGGAAAAGGTGGTGGCTTCGGAGGTGGAGGCGGATTTGGCGGCGGTGGCGGTGGTGGAAAAGGAGGAGGTTTCGGCGGCGGAGGTAATCATGGCGGCGGTGGTGGTCACGGCGGTGGCGGTTATGGCGGCGGAGGCCACGGCGGTGGCGGTTATGGCGGCGGAGGCCACGGAGGAGGAGGTCACGGAGGAGGACACACTGGCGGTGGAGGCTTTGGCGGAGGCCACGGAGGAGGAGGTCACGGCGGTGGAGGTCACGGAGGAGGACACACTGGCGGTGGAGGCTTTGGCGGAGGCCACGGAGGAGGAGGTCACGGCGGTGGAGGTCACGGAGGAGGGCACACTGGCGGTGGAGGCTTTGGCGGAGGTGGATTTGGACACGGTGGGCACACCGGCGGCGGTAACTTTGGCGGCGGTGGTTATGGTGGAGGCAACAAGGGTGGCTATGGGGGCGGTGGCAAAGGTGGTTCCTGGGCCCAGTCTTCCAGTTCAGCCAATGCAGGCAGCTAGTAAGTAGCATTTTGCAAAATATTCACGTCAAATCAAACAATCGAATTCAACGCCATCTTTCTTTCCAGCGGCAGATAAACGCATCTTTCATCTAGAAGATCATGATACTGCCATTTGTCCAGGCGCAAGTATAATTCCAATATGTATTAGTTCTGAAATTGATTTGGTGTAAATGTATTTTAATTAAATGTTGTCACAAACAACGCATCATATAATGAAGTATCCTAAATACAAAATAAACATTCGAGGAATATCGAATATCATACTGGTTCCACGTCACACCTCACAATTGCAACCAGTTTGCATCATCATTTTTGGTATATCTGGCCCGTAGTAAATCTTACTGTTCTGTGCAATGGCGTCGAATTTTCTCACCTCCACATATTCCTTAGTGTACAACTCCTTGTTGGTCTCGATCTCATGACGCCGCTTGTAAAACTCCGCGTCCGCCATCGCTTTTTCCTTCGCCAGATGAATTTCGTCTTCGATGGCGGCCATCTTCTGCAGCGACTCCTTTTCCATCACTTTTTGTTCATATTCAATCTTTGCCACTTGCGCCTTCTTCTCCGCTTCGATAATGGCCTTTTTCTTTTCGGTTTCGGCGTCTTTCTCGACCACCTTCTGATGCTGCATTGAAATTAATAGTTGTGTTTTTTCCGACTCCATTAATTCATAGTTTTTGCGTATGGCTTCGGGAATCTTTGGTTTGGTGACGCGTACAGCATGAATTGTAAGTCCAGGCGCTACTAATTGCAGGTCCGATTGCAGAGCGGACTTCAAATTATCGTCGATCTTATCGAACAAGTCGATGTAAACTTCGTGAAGCGAGTGAACACTGCAGAACTGATTGAGTTCGTGGTGGATCTTGTTATAGATTAACGTTTTATCGTACTCCCAGGTAAAGTTTCTTATAATATCATACACTACAACACACAATGAAAATTTTCGAGTATTAGTAACTGCTATTCGAATGAAAATAAGATTATGAAAGAAAAACATGCAAAAAATCGTTGAATAGGAGGAGGGACAACAGTGCCAATGGAAAGTATTAAAAGAAAAAAATACATACACTGGGAACGAATCGGTAAGAATCAAATCAGCGATTGGTCCACGCGTCACGTTGTCACTGCATTAGCAAATCAAATATGCGCTCCGGCAAAAACATGGGAAAAACATGGAAACATAGGAGCAGGTGTTGTAAATGTCATTTCTGGAAGTGTTGGATAACAATAGTGCTTTGTTCAGTTATCAACAATCCGTCAATTAGCAATTCAATTTGCAATATTTCTGTGTTCTAAGAAAAATAAACCCGTTTATAAGATTTCTTAATTTTGGTTTCAGCAAACAAAATATTATAGGGCGCCATCTAGCGCAGTAAAATTGAATCACCAAATTAATGAGCCTATTAAAATGAATCCAGTGAAATTTATTTCTTACCTGCTTCCTTCTTCAAGAAGTTGACCACCTCGATTCTATCAAAATAAATAATCACACCGCTACTAGTTCCACATGGTACGTTCTTCACCTCATCTGTTTGCAGTGTGACTTGAATGGACTTGAATGAAGTAAGATGTGGTATCATCAAATGAAATCCAGGTTCACTGATGTATGGCAGAAGTGCACCACCCTGAATAAAATATTAAACATTCAACATCAAAATTGCAAGCAGTTCTAACACATAGACTTTGTAATTTGTTATCTTTGGGTAGATAGATTACCACTCAGTATACGGCCTTTATAAAATAAGTTAGTAACCTAGAGATACCCAGCATGTCAACAAAGAACATTGAAGAATTACTAAACAATTGAGTTACTAATATCATTAGCAACTGCTTAACTACATTACTATTACAATACGTACCCTGTAGTAAACTCCAACATGGCCTTCCTCTATTCTATGCAGTGATGATGTTGTGCTAAGGACTATTATCAAAGGAACTGTTAGTAGCTTAACGTATCTTGTAAAAAATTCGTCCTGAAACAAGAACCTTATTAAGACTATATTATTACTCAGGCAAATCACCATCATATACCATTGATTCCGGATGAATTTAAGGCTTAAATATTACGTATTTCTTTTTTTGTCGGTTATTTCGTAGTGCTTGAAACGTATTTTAGCGGTTATATGAACATTGACGCACCTGGCAAATAGTAAACAAACCAAGCAGACCGTAAGGTGGCTCCCCCAAGCGGGCATCTTCTTAACTAATTATTTGAACGCAAGTGGAATATTTTTTCTACAAGAATCAAAAGGTTAATCATCAAAATCCTCGCTTTATTGCTTAAATTAAAAATAAAAACAACTTAGAAATTCTCCTAATACACACAACGCCAATGTGACTTAAAACTACGTTTATAAATACAATATTTATGTACAAATGAAAAAAGTAAGTTATTATTTAGTGGTAGAAAAATTGACTAGCACATAATACTAAATGAAATCGATTAAAATAACATCCGTTATGCTCGTACATGTGAGTGACATCGAAATATTTACAAGCTAAAGATCGAGAGTATCAAAAGTTGGAAGCACGACATCGCCCCCCGCGCGCATCACAATTCAGTCGTAATCTCATCCTGCGGCCGAAATCCCAATTGACAACAGTCATCGTCCAAGAAATACGAGCCGTTCTGCAAACTCTCCTTGCTGCTCTTCCACAGGATCGGATTGAACTGCGAATTGCTGTTGATCATGTTATAATCAAACTTCCACTGCGGATTCAGTCCATTATCATAAGGTTCGCCCAAGGTTTTAATCGTGGCGTGTTGCAGACTGGCTGTGGAACCGAAAGGCTGATCTGGTTTGAAGGTAGACATCGTGGTGCCTGTCCTCGGTTCGGGTTCAATCGGAGTTTGTAAAAAGTTGATCAGCTGTGCGACTTGCGGCTGGGATACTTCACTCATTCTTTTGCATCGTTTGAGGGTCTTCTCGCCCCAGGCGAAGAGATGCTCCCAGTCTTCAGGAACACAGATCTGTTCAACTGGTCGGTTCAGTAAAAGCAAAATCTTCGCAAGGTCACGTATTATAGGTCTATAGACCGCGATAGCGGAGTGATCACCATCACGATGTGACTCTCGAAGTTGTCTCCGGGAATCGTTGAGTATCTCTAGGAAAGTCTGCGCGTACGGCCGAAGAATCTCCAATTGTTTGAGAAACTCTTTACGTTCCGGGGTATCGTCCAGGTCGCTGCCCAGTTCACTAGCATTGAGTAAATGTTTTCGCCTGTATTGCATATAGATGAGTCCACAGGCAATGATCACGACGCAAAGCGCAGTGCCACTGAGCACACCAGTCAACACAGTGAGCGCGTCATTTGACAATCCCATGAAACTTCCGCGATGAACACATATCCTCCCCATGTAATCCGCGTAGTTGCTCCATTGTGACCGATATCCATGCGGGCACTTCGAGACGCACTTCCGAGATGGATAAGTTAGGAACTCCGAGCATTTCAGGCATCCGACCGAGCCACATTTTAGACAGTCACCATCGGAGTCACAATCTGCAATGCAAAGCAAAATAAGATGTTAAACATGCTTGATTAATCATAATTGCATCAATTTCGAGTGATTAAACAATTAAACATTTCGACGCAGCGGCTGATTCAATAAGCGCGCGCCATACGCGCACGATGATTAAATTATGCGCAGACTAAATGAATTCTAATTGTTTATAATAAAGCCAGCAAGTGTAATCGTTATAAACACATTCAACATTGTAGAGCTTCCTACAGTTTACAGCTTCGAAATGTTTAGAGTTCAACTTTACACATTGCTCTCAACACTCGCTGACATCGAACGAATCGCAATCGGAGCCGAATTTATAACAAACAACGCGAAAATTAAACGATATCTGCCTGGAATGTTTAAATGTTCGAAATATCTGCTCGTGTTCAATGTAAACACTCTCAATTTATACATGTTTGGCAGTTTGGCAAGGAAATTTAATTAAAAAAAAGTTTAATGAAAAAAAAATAGTTTTCAGGTAAAAATTGAGCAAACAATTAATCGAATATTAAACAAATTAAGGCTTTGCAGTGTATTTGTTCTTAATTTTCATCTTGTACTGTAATCTTTTTTACTTTCCCCATAGATTTTATCAACACAAAATTCTTTTCATGACTTTTCTTTTTAATCACATTGCATTAACATGAAAGTTCATAAAATTCCGTTTTATTACTCCGCGAATTGTTGTTTTGCATTATGAGTGTACCTGGCTGGAGAATCAAACAATGCAAGAAACAATGTCGGATTGTTGGCAATGGTAATGTGTAACGTGTAACGCGGAGAGGAATTAAAACGCTTTCATAATGCGCGTCGCACGCGGACAAAATGCAGCCCAGCATCGTTAGCGCAGAGAATGGAGCACGTAATTGCGGCGAGTTCAGGGATAAATGGCGAGCGCACAATTTCATAGAAAAATGTAAAAATACCGTTCGGTTTAATTACACGATAAATACGATTTTAATCTCTCGTTTCACATCACAACAAACCGTATTCCACACACACACACACACATATTCGAAAAACGAAACAAGACAACATTTTCCAGCTTATAATAAAGCTAATAATAAAAGTCACAATTACATTCTTTGATCACCCAAGGAAAATTGCTTGTATTGAGCAATCATATTCATGTTTGATTCGACATTTTCAAGAAAGCTGCTGGCGGAAACGCACTCGGTTAGTTCGTGATTATCTTCACTTCAGGCAGCAAACGAGAGAACAAATCGCTTTTTAAATGTAACATAACGTATCCTTTATGCGCGACGGCATGACGGCATAATTAATACAAACAAATATTTGCTCGCATGGCGACTGCCAACGGAACCCACACCACAACGCACAAAGAAAGCAAGAAAGAAGTCGAGGAAGGAGCAAAGAATCCGTAACTCGTAATTTGCAATTTGTACTTACAATTTACTATTTGTAATCTGTTCATTGCACATTAGAATACATTAGACTACGTCCGCTATTCAATCCCGCGTTTCTTGTATAACAATTACGAGCACGTTCTCATGCAAACGACGTGCTCCAGAAACCGTGCTATTGTCTTAAATTGTTATGATCATGCGATGACGATGTGACTTTCGGCGGATGCAAACATTCCTTCCATCGCTTCGTACGAAAAATGATAACTGTTATTATTATTACTCAGCGCGCTTACACTTAACACATCAATCTGAGATTGCTTTGGAAAGTCGCGGAAAACGTTTGCACTGGATACCGTTGAAGTCGTGTTTTAATTGAATGACTCGATAAACAAATTAAGCTGCATATATTGTTGTTGTCCTTATGCACTTTAGTCCAGTTGTGACGAATCTAGCATGATTGGCAAGACGCCGGCAAGGTCATCATCATTATTGCAATCGAGATAATCGTATGCCGAACGTATTAATTGACGTCCCGGGCAGACATTAATGAAATGTTATTCTGTTATTGCTCGTTTATTTCTGCACAGTGCACAAACCTATGACAACAACGTTTTTATGTTGAATACGAGCAATATATCTACTCACGTCGCTTTAAAGTTTCAAAAGTATAAATGAGTGGATATATAATGAGTAATTAATATAATTGGCGAGTGCTCAATTCACACATGTAATAGTTATTATTGTGAGTTGAGCTCATCAATTTTTTTCATCTAGAAAACCGTTGCTTTTGAATTCCTTTCGATGATTTGAGCGCTGCAAACAAGTTAAATTAAATATGATGATGAAAAAAGCAACGACAAATGTGTCGATCTTACCTATATAACCACTCAAGTTGAAGCTGTACTTCCGGTTAATTATTTGTTTCATCGGTTACGCTTCATTTAAGCGGTTGATTAGTTATTTATTATTTATTAGTGCAAATTGCATTAATACGCTGCACCTAATCATGACTAACAAGACAAAAAAAGTCGCCCGTTAATGTAAAGTCGACATTTTTCGCTTAAAACACGCGTGTATTACGAGTTTTTTTATTTTTCTCAGTGAAACCGTGTAAAGCTTTCGATTTTTGTGGATTCAAAAGGCGGTAAAGTCCGTATCAGCCTGTGGAGTGCGATTTATGCTCGTCACTCGCAACGCTCGAACGCACAAAATCGATTAGAGCGCAAGAAGAAATCGGTGCCTTCGGCAAACGGTCAAACGGTTCTTCTCTTTGCGCGGTTATCCAATCCGAGCATCAACGAGCCGCATTGATTTTGAACTGCCCAGCCCTCGATTAGCAACGCTACGAAAACGAAGCCAACGGTCAAACCAAACCAAACTAATAAAGCAAAGTAAACTAAAGTAAAGCAACTCGTATAACATCGCATCGACTGACGGCTGAGCTAATAAGGCTGCTCGTTACGAAAAGATGTAACAGCAATGTCGCGTCGAAACACCGTTTGAACTAAAAACACTAACCACAGCAACGAATTCAATGTCACGGCAAGAAGCTTATGATTCCTATGAATATTCAACGCAACCAAATCATCAAAAGTTCAAAGTTTATGGCAACACGTTTGGGAACTCGACGAATTCTTTCTTATAAGCATCGTGTATTCTTCTTCACCTAGTCGGCGTTCTAATTTCTGCGTTACCGGTACGCATAGGTGAATTAACAACCGACCCAGTTTCCCACATGCACATCCTGTGTTTATTAATATCTAAATATAAATACACATGCGCAATGTGTTTATGAAGTTTGCAGACGTGAAGAAACGGTGATTGTCGACCACCAGGCGCGAAAAAGCACAAGAAAATTGTAGGTACAAGAGAGGAAGCTGCCGATGACATCCGGTGATTTACCCTCATATCCGGGTTGAATCACAGCGCAACGGTATGATATAAAACATAAACACGGCTTTCCGGTACCCAAAAGCATCTTTTTTCGTACATTTCTTACCTACAAGCTTCCGAAAAGTCTGCGAGAACAGATGTTGCGTTGAGTATAACCTTGGCTAACAAGATTCTAACAAAATTCGAGGAAATGTCACCATTTACAGCCCTCATAAACCGAAAGTAAATAGTCGTAGGCGTAAGTCGAAGAAAGAGAAGAAATTCTTGTGCGGCGCGTGATTATCACAGAGTATTTTACATCGCCTGGCTATAAATAACTTCTGCGAAACTGGGAAATTGAACGTCTTGCATGTCTGCACGAAGCACCGACAACATAAAAATAGCACAGGCAAAGCATTCCGTGAACTCTTCGACGAGAGAATCTGGAAGCGTGGCATCATTTGACTACATTGCTCAACGCGACTTAAGTCAACTCCAACTCGCTGTAATTCAGTTCCCATCCGAGGAACAGGAAGAAGAATTAAAATAGCTCCGGTTGTTGCATACGCTAGTAGTGCACCAGTTTTAAATCCAGGGCTGTGGTAATAAAGATAGTAAAAATTAGGGATGCCTTGAAAGCATTGCTTAATTGAAAGCTTTTAGTCTACTGCTGACTATAGACATCTCAAACACATGCGATTGTGATGTAAGCAGACGTAACCGCCGCCATTTGAACGGCTTCGCAAAACTTGTTAAAACTGCAGACGTGCAAACGCGATTGAATGAATTGCCGACAGAGGACCGCATGACCTACTGACTAACGCTAATAAAACATAAAACACATCGGCGAGCACGCGACGCCGTCGTTTACATGCCTTAAGTGTCTTTCATTATGTTTCGTTCTATTTAATATCTTTTATTGCTGACGCTGCTGGCATGCCGGCGTATTCCAGTGACAGCGGTATTTTGCGTCATTTTCTTCTTGTGTATACTTGGAGTTGTAACGCGTCGGTTCCGCGAGTTGAAGCGCTTTGATAATTGTGTCGAGTGTCAACGCATTGTTGACCAATTTCGCGCGGAACGTTATTGCAGTTGTCATTGTAGCAGCAATGTGACTTGGAGGTGCTACATATAACACAGACATTTCATATTTTCTTGTGTGTCGTGTCCGTCGTTTGAAGCAAATTGGGAATTGTGGATAATTGCTGTTGAAATTAATGTGGGTGCCTCCTTGTGGTTTTAATTAAAGCCATGAACTATTTCACCTTTTTATAGCTAAATAGTTATGTAAAATTTTGCAAATTTTAGATGAAAACTTAAAATGTTGAGTTGAAGTAAAACTTAAAAAAAAAAAAAACTTTCTTGAATGCTCGGGTTATTGACACACTCACTAGCCCACCAGGTCCACCTTGCACCTTCTACTCTTTCAGTTAGAAGCTTCCATTGTAGAATTCGAACGCTCTCACCTGCACGCCGTGTGACTCAACACACAGCGCGGTGTTGTTTGCTTTTCGAGTTCACGGGTTCGGCAAGAAGCACACGATCGTGCGAGGAGCAGGTAACGACCAGCGGCAGGTAGAAAGAAAAACGCAGCATCCAAGAAATGATAAAGATGCTCCCAGATGAATTTACTTTTTAAACTCCTCCGACAAAAACTCAACAAAAAAAAACGAAGCTTTTCCAACGGCAGGAAATACAAAACAAAAAATCCGTGAATCTAGATTCATCGCGATAATTGGCGCGTAGAGCGTCTCCAAAGCGTGTCTTCGATACTTTCTAACTTTCCGCGGCGCACGGCGCGAATTTATGTTCCGTGAATATTTCAATAATTCAAGCGACGCGCACTATGAAAGTGTGTATGTGGAGCAATGCAGTTTAATTAACAAACTGCTTAATTAAAAATTGTTGGCAGGGTGCACATTTGTGTATGTGTTCTTATTTCGTGTTTAAACAACCAAAATGACAAAAAAAAACACCTCATGGTCGACCCACGCCCGTTCAGCGCGCAATAATTGCGCAAATCGCGCGCGACATTTCATTTCCTCGCCACAATCGAATCTCGAATTCAATCTGCAATCAAATTTCCATTCATTATGCACACACGCTGCTATTTCGAGCCGACAGTTTACAAAACACTTGCACTGGCAGCGCGCAAGAAACGCCAAATCGCGATTGCGCCTGGGTTTCGTACGTTTACGAGTGTATTATGACAGGTATTATAGTATTAATGAAAATTTCAATTTGCGGCTGAAATAAACCGCCGACCACACATATATGAGCAATAATATCCGGAGAATATTATTGCCGAGAAGAAACGTTTAACGAAACCACACCGCAATTGAAACATGTGTGTGTGGTAATACTGATTGTTGGCACATTTCGCCACTTGGCGAAAACAAAACTCGAGAGTGACAAATATCGTGTGAAACCTAAGTTTATCAACACGTAACAAACGGTGGAAACTTATGTCGCCGCAATGAAACACAAAACACAGCCGTCATTATGCTGCTATTTGCATTGCGAAATCGGCGGCGTGTTCGGCGTCCGTCATAAGTACATACTACTCGCTGGACGGAGATAGTCTTCGGCTACACAAAGCGGCCGTAATGTGGTAACGCAGTTAAAAGTCCGAGTGTGCGTTTTACCTCCCGATTTGCCTTTGCGTTTACTTCTTGTGAGTGCGCTACGGCTGCGAGACTTCGACTTTCCATAAACAGATCGTGGGAGTTTGAAAAACTCGTCGGGCTGGTCCCACTGTCCGATGCCCACCTTCTAACACTCACTGCGTTGCGTAAAAACGATTATTTTTTTTAGGAAAAAATACAAATCACTGCGACACTACAAGAAAACGCTTGGAACTTGTCATGATATCTACAATAAAATTAAACTTACATGAATTTGTCTGCAGATTACGAAAATATGATTATATCATTGTTGAAAAACGTTCTGAATCATTCCTTGTTCAATTTCCACACATAATATTCAATATTTACTTGTAATATTACCTTTTTTTGAAAAATTCAAACGTGATTTACTCATGTGTCACTATAAAGTTAGGTTATTTCATAGATGGGGGAGCTGCCATGTTCTGCACAAATGTAATACTAAAAAACGCCCATAACCTAACTATTTTTCACTGAAAAAGCAGTAAAATTGAAAAAATACGGCACACCGTGAAATTACACTGAAGCTAGAACTGTTTAACGTATGAGAACAAGTAGCTGGCTTCCAGAGAACGAAAAACGCGCCGCTTTTCTGTTTTCTTTACACTTTATACTTTTTTTTTCCTTCAGCTGTAGAAACTCTATTTCTGTGCACTACCTGAACATGCTACTTGTTGAACCTACACTTTTATAAAATAAATTTTGTGTGCTTTTGTCCGCGTACGAATTATTTTTCGAAAGTAGAAGGGATTGCTGACAATCTGTATAATACTATCGTTTTCACGTACAGATTCTTCTCCGCTTGCACCTACATTCTTGGCCTCACTTGCGATGCATTCCCTTCTATTCTCCTCTTCGTGGTAAGCCTATTATGGTAACTTCCGATGAACTAAGCAACTAAAGCATTACATAACAGAAAGCCTCGTGCAATTGCAGTCGTCATGGAAAATTTTGCAAAATTTTTTAAGGTGGCTATGAATTTCATGACAATTCTGACTAGTAACATGCATTACTGAATGTATTTTTCATAAAAATCTCATGCATTCGTAAATAAAATGAAAAACAAGGCTGCAAAATGCAATTTTTATTGAAATGTAACCGAAATATAAGAATAAACGATTAGTGTTTGGTATTTTTCGCAGCCTCAGTGCATTTCTTGTCCTTGCACACCGGCTGCCGCTGCGCGAGTGGCTGGCACTCCTCGTCGGTCTCCTCGTCAGGCTCCCGAAGCATCACCAGCGGCGCCAGGATGTTGTATATGAGGCTCTCGCGGCATTTCCATTCGCACATCTTGTCCGGTGCGAGGTTCGCCACGATGAACATGCCCATCAGCATTGAGGCGAGCAACCATAGCCACCATCGCCGCTTCTTCGGGGGCTTGCGCGGTGGCGGCGGACAGACGTATTTGGTGTCGATTCGGCACGCGGTCTGTGTTCGTCGTGGAGGTTGCCGTGTGGCGAGCGAGGGGGTCACGTGGATTGAAGCGCAAAGCTGCTGGGGGAGCACCACTACCGGGCGAAGAACGACGCATGGTTGACGCGGAGGCAAGACTGGTGCTTTGCGAAACGTAATACGGCGTACGATTTGGGACGCGTTGTACATTATCACTTGAAATTTAGAATCGCATGTTATGCGCGGAGCCGCGCGATGCGAACGGGTGAAAATTTTGAGCTGATTTGTTGATGAAACAAAAGCCACATATCTATCATGGCACGCTTGTTTTCGATTTGCTTCCAGAAAATTCACTTAGATTGCTATGAGAATCAACAAAACAAAGTTTCAAACAGATTCGTTGAGGAAAACAAAAGTCACACAAATTCATAATAATGTGCCATGGAAATGCCATAGAAACCATCCTTGTTATTTAAATAATTTCTAAAAATTTGCAGATTTGCGTATTTTTTACATTAATTTGTTAATAACTTTTTGGGTTAACTTAACAACAACAAAAAATTTACCCAAATAGATACAGAATTTAATACTGAATCTAGTTTCAAATAAAACTCAACTCTTCATTGAAAAGTTTTAGTGTTATGCGAATTTTAAAAGAAAAAAATCACGAATTACTTCATTTTCAAGCAAAAAATCCTTTTAAAATGGTTTATCAACCCATGCAAAATGAAATTTTAGCTTTGTCATTACTCTGAGCGTACTTTTACTCAACGCACTCGCAAAATACGAAAATTTAATTAAAGCAAATTAATTAAAATTAAAATTAATATCACGTACACGTATTTTTTAGTACGTACATCAACTAGGTAGTTGTAAGCACCACTAAAAGAAAGTATTTCGTGTTTATGTTTTGATTAATCGTCAAACTCATATGTTAATTCCATGCTGTTCCGGGTTGTATGCATACATAGTGTTCGGCACGCGTGGAAACCAGACCGTTGTACGCGGACATAAATTATTCATTCGGTGAAAGAACGCATCGTAGATTTGTTTATTTTGCTCTTTAAAATTAGCAAAAAACACATAAAGAAACCATCAAAAATCAGCTCATAATCATAATCAAGCTAATTTAGTATTTATCGAATTTAATTCTTGGAAAGTATTGTCCACGGTAATAAAAGCTGTATCAGTATTGAAAATCACAATGCGGGCGAAGCGTATTTGATCCCTGACGAAAATTACTACTTCCGTGTGATAACACTACCAGTATTACAAGTTGAAACCAACAAAACACAAAGTGTTTGTGGCTGAAATAAAACGTTTCTTTCACTTTCTGTGTTGCAATATACTATATCGCACTAGTAAAATGTCTCTTTGCATGCGCCTTTATCGAAATGCGTTTTTAATTATTATACTTTATACAATGTCGCACAATAGTGCACAAAGCACAACGCGGCGCAATAATACAGAACTTTCATAAATTTTCTATTTCTTCGCATCTTTTCTTCGCGCAAATTTTCTCTCATCCATTCAGCACAATTTCACGCCATTGAAAATTACATTAAGTAGTTTTAATTTCGAGCATGACACGAGAAAACTAATCATAGCGTTTTTATCAATGCCAATGTTATTAAAACGTTCGAATTCGAATGGGTGAAGTTGAAAAGTCAAAGACAAGTTCAACGCCAGTAAATCTTCCGAGTTAATTTACAAATTGGTGGCGTGAGGCGTCCGTAATGAATCTAAATTTGATTTTTTATGGGAACTAGAACATTCATCCGGCCGACACTAACAATGATAAAACTAAACCGCACGAATTCTCATAAGTCTTCATATCGAAATTCGCGGCACAGTTTTGCGTTCGCATGAACTTGCCGTGACAAAAGTCAAATATGATAAGATATTATCGCATTAATTGCGTGCGTTTTTCTACGGTTCTCTGCAAATTGCAACTCTTTGTGCTGATGTTTATCATAAAATGCGCGTGAAATTAATCTTTTCAAGTGTAAAAGTGTTGTTTTAATTATAAAATCTACAGCTTGAGCGATGATTACCTTGACTAGAAATTCCGAATGCGATTTGCGCGATGAAGAAGACGAACGAGACGAAGCGGACGTGCATTTTCGGCCTCCCATCAACACGTAATCCGAGCCGCAACATGCATTGGTGGTGTCGTAATGGTGCTTATCCTCTTCCTCTTCGCGCTCTTCTGCTGCTGGCGGCGATTACCACGATTTATCTCCCGCACATAACAAAAAAAAAAACAACAGCCGAATTCGCAACAAAAAAACTATCTCACTTGTTGCTTTACAGGTGTTATTTAAAGTTAAAAATGAGTTAATATTGTCTGATTGGAGTCAGAGATGCGCAACGCGACGCAGCGCACACGACTGGAATGAACCTGCGTTTGCGATCTTGGAACACGCTCGTGCGGATGGAGGCGCTGCGCAACCGGCGACCGCAAGAAAGCTTCCACGACTGAGTCAAGTGAGTCAACTACTGAGTGAACCGAGGAACAACCGACCTAAGCCGCATCGGCGCGCTGCTGCGCACGAGCTGTGCGCTCTAGCGCGCGCGCCGGACGAGGTGGTCGAGCAGCGAGCTTCGTTTTGATTATCTACTTCGCGTCGGAATCCGTCTAAACTCACTATGCACACACACATACAGTTCGGTAAAACAATTAGGCGTCGAGGCAAGATACATTGAGTTTCTTTCGCATATAAAACATAATATAGCACAAAGAAATAAACGTAGAACAATACGAGCCGAATATGAAAATTTATTTGTGACAATTAGATTTAGTTTTGAACTATTTTGTGTTATCTTACACTTCGGGCTCTTTAATGGCCGGCATTGTTCATTAATTAACAGTATACTGTATGCCACACACACATCCATTTCTAAAAGAAACAAGGTGCGTTTTAATACTTCCAAGACCTTTTTTTAAATAATTAATGAAAAAAAACTGACAAAATTATAACAAAAATTCACGCAGTAATAAATTATGAATCAAAACTATTGAAAAATCGTTTGATGGATTGTGAATAATTGATGAGATGTATAATTTTATTGAAAATCTGCTCGTAAATAAGTAAAAAGTAAAACTATTGCACTATCTTTCTCGTGTCATGTATGGCAGTGCACGCGCTTCTCCACCGCACCGAAAGTAAAACTAAAAGAATTGTAACACATTCTACGATTCTAAATGACTGAGACGAAAATATGTAGTATTTACACTTACAATTATTTATTATTCTTCATAGGTCTGCATTCACTTAAAGTTTTGTATTTAATGTCATCGATTTTGTAACATTCTTCATCATTGATTATAGTCTTATCGAGTTTTTGGTGGCATCTCCTAACTGATACGCATTCGTACCTATAATATGCCAATTAATATAAAATGCATTAAGTTAATGGTAATCGCATCTGAAATAAATATCGCAATTCTTTGTTACCCACTCACCGAATACTTTATACAAACACTTGAGCGCAAAACGAGTGTCACACGCGAACCGATCAACAGATACGACACATAAATTCATATACCACCCCCAGCATGTACGAATTCTGCGCCAACTAATCCGATTACGAGTACATCACAATTTAAGAATAAATTCGACGAGATGTGAACAAATTCATTGGTCTAACAAACGAATCACATCGCTACGTGTGCGCCTATCTAAGTTGCGCAGCGCCCGCAAGCAAAATGCACCATTTAAACAATTCTTTATAACATATATATCGATTACACATCATTACACATCATTATCATACCAATCGAGCCATGTAATTTTTTACAAAGTATGTACAGATTTACAATGTTACTCACATGGGATCAGTGCTTGCCAGTTCAAATTGTTTAAAGTGCCAATTCGCCGATATTGTTTGTTCCCTAGAAGTCCTATGTATATCAAATATTCTGTTTGCAAGATTCGTGTTCTTGTCAGTTCGTGTTCGTGATCAACACAGTCTAAGAAAATATGCCACTGCTACGAAACACAATGAACATCGTGCCCCCACAGGCGCAGTAGCAGTCAAGCCATAATCTTTTATGACGTTATTTAAACAAGAAATGATACTCATTTTAATTCTATAGCAAATTATTTAGTTCACACTCCACACTACTCAACCCTTCGTTAATTAACAACTTGTAAGCGTCATTGATTCTCAAAAAAATGTCCGCAACTTCAGTATCAGATCACATAATCCGCGAGCACGCCGGTATAATTTACACCGCGTGCTCCGAACAGAACGACTTGTAGTTTTCATCGTCTAGCTTCCAGTGCGCGAGGTACGCACATCCAAGATGCATCACGTTCGTGCAGCCTCGTTTGAGGCAGCAAATGTTCGCGCCCTTGTTGGCGCAGCGCGCGCACGCGACATTCGACGCCGTCCACACCGCCTCCTCCAACCCGACGATCTTCGCCCCAACGAGATAGACGCCCGGCGACCAGACGATGCAATCCTCATGCGCCCATACTTCATACGTGGCGTCTTCTAATCGCGCGATACCTAATTCAACATCTTGTGCTGCTTCCTGCGCAGCTACGTCTGCCCCGCTCGAGATTTTCCGTTTCGGACCGCGTTTGTTCGGCTTGCCAGCCGAAGCGGCCGCATCCAGGCAGCGGGAAATCTTCTTACTCTTAAAAGACTTGTCGTAGGGATCATGCAGGCGGCGTTTGTACTCGCTGCATTCGCTCGTAATCGCATACGGACCGAAGAGATCACCGGGCATGTAATGTGTATCGTTATCACTGAATTCGCCAGTGTACGGACCGCGCTTGCAAAACGCACAGATCCACGACGCGTCTTTCGTCTGCGCGTCGTATTTGTTACTCAGGGTACTAGAGTGCAAGCCCTTCGAGCGTACCTTGTGCCTAAAATCGCCATCGTCGTGGAACTTTTTCGATTTGGTCGACTTTTTCGAATCGCCATCTTCATCATTCGCTGGCGTATTGATTACGCTCACGCTTAGTGGAGAATCGCGCGGGCCGCTAATATGTACGAATGGACCACGCGATTTACTACTGGATGCATTACTGCCCGAATCGTAAGCGTACACGTCTTTCGCCGTGTCAAACTTCGCCTTACCATTCATCTGCAACAACATAGGCGATAAATTCAACAATATATTTAAGATAATTTTCATTTATTTACCTTTTTACTAGACGTTTGTTTCTTTGTAGTCTTAAGGCCGCCTGCTTTCTTCTTCTTAGAGCTAGCGTTTTCATTCAGCTGCTTCCCTTTAAGTTTCCTCTTCTTCCGCAGAGGTTTTTTCCTGGTTACGTCCAGGTTACTCGTGGATGACACCTTTTCCTGACTGGTCGATGGTGTTAAGGTCAACAAGTCTGTAATCGAGCCCAAACTGCGCGGCCCATCCATAGGACGATCTCGTAAATCCTCCAGGCCACCGTCTTCCAAACCAGCGAACATTTCTTCCAGTTTATCCTCCACTGCAATAAAGTCCTTCTTTTGTGCAAGCGTCACCATGGGTGTTATGGTCGCACTGGGAGTCGCTGAAGTGGTAGGCACCGTTGCAGTCGCGTTGGGTGAACTGGTCTCGTCCTCATGTGGTTTGCTGACGAGATCATCCACCATCGCAGCGATTTTATCAATCGTTTCATCGTCTGACGAGTTTTTCCGGCGCGTCTTCCGCGGACTATCCTGTCCAATAGGACTGTCTTTCCTAAGTTCATCGTGTTCCACCACAGTCTCTACCTCATTCGCAGGTTGTACATTCTCCGTGATAGTTGGAGTAGTACTGCTAGGGTTAGGATTGGTCGGTTGTGTACTGCTCACACGTTTTTGATTCACGTGCGTTGTTGCAGTGTCAGTCAAAGCGGAATCGAGAGTTTCAGGCGTTGGCGGCACCTCTGCCTCCTTGGTTACCTTCATGGTCTTCGCAGGTTTACGCTTACGACTACGCCGACTCTTATTGGAATCCAGGCTGTCCTCGTTGCTGTACGGCGAGACAACGTCTTCCTCGCGCGGCGTGGGTACATTGAGTATGCTACTAGAGTTACTGTTCTCATCATGCGATGAATTGGTGGCCGGCGCCGCCACAATCGTCGGATTCGCAGCGCCAGTGCCCGTAGAGGTGGTGATAATGGGCGTCGCTGTCGGCGTCACCTCTCCATCCGCCAGTAAAGGATTCAGTCGTTCAAGGATGGAATCAACGCGCTTCACCTTTTTGATCTTTGGACTCAGCTGTTTCTCGGGCGTGGGGCTCTTGGTCTTGGCAGCGACCGGCGGACTCGCCGGTTTCGGACTGGCGGACTTCGTGAGCTCACCCTGACGCTCCAACGCACTGGCAGCGAGGCTGTTGATCTTGTTGGTGTCACGTACGCTAAGGCTGATGGGCGCAGCGGGCATGTCTCCGTTGTGGGTGTTGCGCGCCAACGTCAAGTCGACTCCAGGCGCCTGCCGTAAATACGGCCGCTCGGACAGCATCTGTTCCAGGTTGATGATGTGAGAGTGCGGCGCCTTCATCGGCTCTGTCGTCGGCGTGTGCCAGGTCGGCTGGTGCATCATGGGATGTTCGTTCGACATATGCGCGAGTTGAGGCTGGCGCGGGAAGAAAGGTACCTGCAAGAGGTATTTCTTAGGGAGGGAGATATAAGTAACGACTCACCAAATGATAATAAAAAATAATAATAACTAAACGCGCATTTGTGCAATCGGCAAATTATTAAGCGATGACGAACCTTTTCTCCGTCGACGTCCATGTTGTTTGAATTTGTTTTAAAAAATTGACAGAGAATGTCAAAATATTAACAAAAGACTAACAAAAAAACGTAAATATCATAGGCCATGGAAAGCATGGCATGGCACACTATGATCCGCGGAACGTAAGTTCGCCACCACTGAAATAGATCATCATTATATTTACCTGCAGATGATTCCAGGCAGTGTTCCCAGCCGGTAGCCGGTTGTGTGGATGGTGTGGTGGCCCTCCAGACATAATTGAAACAACTTAATTTTCAGCACAAAGTCAGCATGAACTCCACTTCCTCAGCTTCCTCTCCTCCTCACTGGCAACTCTTGGTTGCCATTACCTAAAAACAAAACTTTTCACACAACCGCCCAACAAATAAACAGGAATTGCTCGAGTTTAGCAACAAATTAACTATAACTACCACACACCTTTCAACAAAGTAACGATTTGACGTAGTGTCACTAGTGTACACAACATGCAAAACATCGTGTATATTTATTCACGCGCAATAATCGCTTATTCACAACACAATAATTTGAAACTTGATACTGTTGGTGCATGCATGACAATAATGAATAAGTTTCACTGAGAAAGATTACGGCGGCACGCATGCATGTGCGAGGCGGCTGGCCGCGGCGGCGTCCGCCGCTGGCCATTACGCATCGACGTTTTGAAAAATGATGAATGTCGTCGCCTGCCTGCATGCATGTGAGTGCGCCGTGTGTGTAGTGTATGGCTCGCGGGTAGCTTTTTAGGAATTGTGAACGGGACTCACGGCGTTCGGCATCATTCGAGGGGCGGCGCGCTCGCTCTCCATACGGCCATCATCAGTGCGAAGTAAGCTCGGACCACAAGCGCTGTACAATCAATTCCGGGCGATACAATTTCCTTCGCGTCGACCGTCGCTTGTAAATGCAGCGGACACGAACAATGGCGGACTGGGTTGTCTATCATTTACGGCAATGCTAGTGACATCTTGTGGTAAACCCACTAAAACCATCACTTTTAAACAAAACCAATCATTTATCCTACTCGTGCAAAGCTAAACCACTTCTTAAAACCAGCTCCAATTATCAACAAAAGTTTCACAATTATTTCATAGCTAAACTAAGAATAAATTATATAAATTTGCAATTGTTAACATTGATCTATGCTTGTTAGAAAACGCTCTGACAGTCCGTCAATATCTTGCCACGTGCGCCCCCTGGTGTTGCGCGAAGAAATTAACAATTTCAAAAGTGTCTCTTATTTAAATCATTCCGTTTTATATCAGCAATATTCCTACACAAAATTGTTCAAATACCTCCTTGCAATCAATTTCAACGCACAATTGTGCTCCACACTTCTAGCATTGATGATAATAGCGGAAATTTTTCCAGCAATTGCAGTGTCGGCCATCTTCTTAGTCTCGTAGTGTCAAATAGTGAACAGCTCACCATCAGCTGACTCAAGGTCGAGGAGTTCTGGATGAGTCAGGGCAATACAACGATCATAACACAAAGCTTGTCGCGAGCGCAATTCGTTTATTAACTCATTAATACTGCGTACTGCAACAACAATTCGCAAGCGGGCTGTAGTGTTAAACGGTATCATGTTTCGCGTTTCTACGGGTATCGAGAAACTTATCGGTATGTATATATTAAGCTACTTAATTAAAAACTGTACCTTGATCAAGTTCCAACAAATAAACGATTTTCTTTCAATGCGTAGACAAGGCCACTAGCTATCTACTGCTGGAGCCTGACTGGAAGACGATTATGCAGATATGCGACGCCATACGGCAAAACGACGTCACGTAAGAACTTATTTCTCTGTAAATTCGATAATATATTGAGTTAAATTCAAATTGCAGACCAAGAAGTGCATTGGCAAGCTTAAAAAAGAGGCTCAATGCACCGAACCCGCATACTGCGATGTTCGCCGTCGTGTTGTTGGAAAGCATGGTGAAAAACTGCGGCAGCGCGTTCCACGACGAACTAACAACGCCGGCCAACTGTAAGATGCTGCATGAGTTGGTGAAGACAACGACGCATGACGACGTGCGCAAGAAGCTGCTGGAGTTGATCCAGGCGTGGAACTACGCCTTCCGCAAGATTCCCATGTACAGCGCGCTCAAGGAGACCATGAACGTGATGAAGGCGGAAGGCTATCAGTTTCCCGAGTTGCAGGAATCTGACGCAATGTTCAGCGCTGACTCGGCGCCTGTTTGGGCTGACGGCGAGGTGTGTCATCGTTGTCGCGCTGCTTTCACCTTAGTGAATCGCAAGCATCATTGCCGTGCATGCGGGCAAGTGTTTTGCAACCAGTGCTCGGCGCAGGTTTCCACTCTGCCGAAATTCGGCATTGAAAAGGAGGTAATTTGTGTTTATACTGAATTGAAATGGTAAATTGTTTAATGAGAGTGAATTGTTTGTTAGGTACGTGTCTGCGACGCTTGTTTTGATAAAGTCAACAAACCGAGCACTGCACCGGCGACTTCTAAAGATCCAGAATATCAGGAGTATTTGAAGAGTTCTCTGGCTCAACAAAATCAAGTAAGCAATGAAATTTCTATTCTTTCCTTTGGATGGTATAATAGTTTTTGTTTTGTTTTAAAGGCTCCGCCACGAAAAACCGAGCAGGAGATTCGTGAGGACGAAGATTTGGAACTGGCGCTCGCCCTGAGTCAATCCGAAGCCGAAGCAAAGGAAAAAGAAAAGATGCGCGCGACCTCCGCGTATTTCAAGCAGGAACCTGTCATTTCCAAGCCGGCGGTGTCCGTGGCGGACCGTACTCCGTCTCCTGAACATCCCGAACTCGCGCGTTATTTGAACCGCCCCTATTGGGAGAATCGCCCGCTTGATACACGTGAGTCTACGCTTGACATCTCCGCGGCTTCTCCGCCTGTGCAAGCTACAGCGCCGTACATCACTAACAGTGATACCAGTCTGAAAGAAAACGGTGTGGTTGACATCGAACTGGAGGAGTTCGTGCACACGCTCAAGACGCAGGTGGAGATCTTCATCAATCGTATGAAGAGCAATTCCAGTCGTGGTCGGTCCATTGCGAACGATAGCAGCGTGCAAACGCTGTTTATGAATATAACCGCGATGCATTCCAAGCTGTTGAAGTATATTCAACAACACGATGATAGCCGGCTGTACTACGAGCGTTTGCAGGATAAATTAACGCAGGTTAAAGATGCGCGCGCAGCGCTCGATGCACTGAGGGAAGAACATCGTGAGAAACTGCGTCGTCAGGCCGAGGAAGCGGAGTTGCAGCGACAGATGCTCATGGCGCATAAACTGGAAATTATGCGTAAGAAGAAGCAGGAGTATTTGCAGTATCAGCGTCAGCTAGCACTGCAACGTATTCAGGAACAAGAACGTGAGATGCACATGCGCAAAGAGCAGCAGAAGCAGCAGTATATGATGGGGCCCGGACAGTACTACATTGGGTCACCGGTGCATGCGGGACAATACGCGCAACATCCACAGCATGCTCAACATCAGCAACATGCGCAGCATCCACAGCATGCGCCACAATCGCAGCATCAATCATATGCGGCGTATCCTCCGCCGGGGATGATGTATGCTCCGCACGCGATGGGCGGCATGCCGCGTGGAATGCAGCCGGGCGCGCAAAGCACACAGGGAGCGATGATGCCGCAGAGTCCTATGAATCAACAAGGACCACCGCAAGCACCACCGCAGGCCATGATGTCTAATCACGCGATGATGCCGCCTGGTGGTATGGCGTATGCGCCGCAGATACCTCAGCAACAACAGCACCAGCCGCATCCGCAACAGAATATGCAGCCAGGCGCGCCGCCAGCTAGTCCGCAGATGCCGAAGGATGAGTCGACAGCGACCGGTGAATTGATCAGCTTTCTTGATTAGACGTGGGCCGACTTAGTCGAGCATTTATTATTGATGGCTCAGTATGCTAACCGATATGTACTATTCATGCAATACTATAAAAATTATTTCATGCAATTCAAGATGGCGCTGTTTTATCTCTGCTCAAAGTTTGCGGGCTACAAATTTCGTCGGCCATGTCACCCTCGGTATTTTCTAACATATTTATTGTTACAACATAAAATTTATATCATGCGACTGCTGATCAGTTATCAAATCCGTTGGGGCTGACGGCCAGATAGCACAATACACCACCACCGGATATTTGCTGCGCGGAGATAAACGCGCGGCCGTCCGGAGAACTATGCTTCATCATCGGAGCAATCGGCCCCGTGCGTGGCAGTGATGGCATCGCCCGGTGCAAACACGCGCCCAGGGCCTCGGGCAACGGAGATAGCTTGTCATTTTCAGGGGGCGGCGGTAGCAGGAAGACGCTGTGCAGAAAATTATTGCGCACTTGGATGCGAAGGAATTGCATGTACAGGTTGCGCTGTTTACTACTTTCTAGATTGTCGTCTGCCACTCCCCAGAGTCTGCGCACCCATTCCACGCATCGCACGCGGTCTACGAATAGAGAAGAAGTCGGAATTAAACATGGCGACGACTACGCGCCGATAATTACCATAGGGATTTGGAAGGAGCGGTGCATAGATGACGATTTCCTGTAATGCATTTTGAAATTCTTGGTTGTCTTTTGTACTCATCACACCATACTATCGAAGAGATTCATATCGTCACAATTTCGGCTTAAATTCTACCGCAATGCAGTGACTGCTGCTGTCACTGATAACATCAACATCGTCGACTTGACAACCGTATTATTTAATTTAACAAAATATTCAGGCACGTTTAACATGTTTGTACACAATTTTGTTTGACAATAGTGATATAGAAATGAGATTTATGTATTTTAGTACTCTTCGAGTCCAGGCAGCGGGAAGGTCTCGCTGAATTTGGTAACTTCAGCCTTGAGTGCGTGAACTTTCGCCGACAGAGTCTTATCCTCATGAAGCACCCGCTTGTAATCGACGAGTTTAGGTCCTGAGACGGCGCTGATCTCCTTGGCGAGTTTCAATCCACGATCGATGAAATCAACAACGGTGTCGATATCCTTCTCGATTAAACCACGTGTGGTGATCGCAGGGGTACCCAAACGGAATCCGGACGGATTCAAAGCGCTTTTATCTCCGGGTACGGTGTTTTTATTACAAGCGATGTTGATCTCTTCAAGGATATACTCAGCCTTGGCACCGGACACACCTGTATTGCTCAAGTCTACTAACAACATGTGAACATCGGTACCACCGGTGGTGATTTTGTATCCCTTCGATTGCAGACCGGACGCAAGTCGTCGCGCATTAGCAACTACCTGAGTGGCGTACGCCTTGAATTCAGGCGTCTTTGCTTGTTTCATAGTGGTGGCAATCGCAGCAATCGTGTTATTGTGTGGTCCGCCCTGCAGACCGGGGAAAACTGCTTGGTTAATACGCGATTCTAAGTCATACATAACTTTCTCGCCCTTTGCGTTCACAGAGCGTACGCCTTTACGGAAGAAAATAACGCCGGCACGAGGACCACGCAGGGATTTGTGCGTGGTTGTGGAGACAATGTCGCTGTATTCGAACGGTGAGGGTGTAACACCAGCCGCTACAAGACCAGAGATGTGTGCCATGTCGCTGAATAACAACGCGCCCACATCGTCGGCAATCTGGCGGAATTTCTTGTAGTCGAGCGCGCGTGAGTAACAACTGACGCCAGCGACGATCACTTTCGGTTTGAAGAGCTTCGCAGACTTCTCCAGCTGTGCATAATCGATCAGTCCAGTCACGGGATCGACTTTATAGGGCATGGATTCGAAGAAAATCGAGGTGGCGGAGATTTTCTTCGTTGGTGTGGCGAAACCGTGGGTTAAATGACCACCATCAGGAAGGTCTAAGCCCATAATTCTACCATGTGGGTCCGCAACGGCTGAATTTCAAATAATTTACATCAAAACTAAGTTTTCCATGAAATTATCAAAGAAAAACCTTAATCCATGCATGATTTCGATAGTTTTGAGTTAAAAAATTGTCATAATACCTGTGTACACTGCAAAATTAGCAGGACTTCCAGAGTAGGGCTGCACATTCACACCCCACTCCTCTGGATTCAAGTTATAAGCCTCCAAAGCACGTTTCTGTGCAAGAATCTCCACCTGATCAATGAACTCATTGCCACCGTAATAACTGCCAAGAGAAATTTAACAAAAAAATTAATTTAAAAATTAAAAATATGGCTGGACTTAACCTACCGTTGTCCCGGTAACCCTTCCGAGTACTTATTGTGCAAGCAGGAGCTAAGGCACTGCAATACTGAAAGCGTGGTGAAGTTCTCCGAGGCGATCATCTCCAAACTGCCGACCTGCCGCTTCTTCTCCGACTTCATCATGTCGTACAGCTCCGGATCGTTGTCCCAGACATTGGTGTCGAGGAGTTTCTTCATGTAACCACTCATGTTGGCTGCGGGTTGGAGGAGTACACGGCGGGCAACCTGTCGACAAACATTTGCGTTCATTTATGCAGCGATAACAATTGTGATAAGCGTGTTAAACAATGAATTTTCTTGGAATCGGTGAGTGTGAATCAGTTGTTATCAACAGGTTGTTTCATAACCTGCGTTTCAATTTGAAACTTAATTCGAATCAGGAGTACAATGTGGTACAATGTTGAACGAGATTTCTTACGAGATAGGCGGTGTGATTGCGCACTGCCGAACGAATGGCAATAAAATGAGCTTGAACTCATGCAGCGCAATTTAAACTCGATAAATGACGCCGGTCATGTCGCAAGCATTGTTTGTTATCTTGGCGATACGCGAACAACTACGATAACCCGTGGATGTTGACGAAGATTGACTCGGTAACAAACAATTTACGTAACTCGAAACTGGCCACAGCTACAGCATATGATTGATGCGTTTTATCTAACATCTAACCGTTTGTTAACATTGAAAAAAAAAACACCACAAACAGACGATACTGTGATGCAGGAATGCACGCCGGTTACGTTTAGTACTTATTATTGCCAATAAGAATAAATGCATTCCGCAAATAGAGAAACGCTCTGCAACCGTCACTAACGGCTTTGTTAGTTTAAAAAATTCGAGCGCTTTCGCGAAAATTTCAAACCTAACAAAGTAAACGTGTGCGTACTCACCGGCTTTGCAAATAACTGTGCGGCAAGGCAACTAGCGCGGGAAAGCATCGAAACCAGTTCGATTCACGAGCGTGTAAACAACGAAAAATCGCGCAACCTGTTTGCGAGGCGCGTAATTAACCCCACGGTGTGTGAGGTGGTCGGAGAGCCGCGAGACGGTTTTCGGAAAAGAAATAAATCGAGCGCTCATTGACTTAAATCGTCGCGGCTCCGCTAACCTTTATTAAGCTGGGTCAAATCGTTAAACTCTATCAGTCGCGCGCGTTACGCAATTTACAATCAATTGCCCAAGCATTTTCTTTGCTCGCATGATGCGTTTATGCCGCTATTAAATTACAAAGCCGATAAAATTCATAAAATGTGCGCGCATTGTATCGTCCATCTTGAAAATTCATGTAAGTATAAACAGGTAACCGTCAGTTTTATGTTTACATCCGGTAGCCATTTTAAATTTGGTTGATTTCAGATTTGAGGCAATATCCTAGGTATATTCATTTATTTTCATATTTTATCGATTACTTGAACTGTTTACTTTACAATAGGCATGAAAATATATCAACATTTGACTTATTTAAGTGTACAAATCAATTCGAACTCCAACTGTACTCTTTTTATACATTATTTAAACAAAACATGCATTAATCAATTTTGGAGTTTACTTAATATGAAAGAAATCAATTCAAATCATGATATAATCTAAACAATAAAATAACATATATGTATCTATACACAATCGATTACTTAATTAACTTAATTTGACACTAAAGTGTGTATATTCGGTAAATTTTTTGTCGCAATTAAACTAACAAGATCATAAAACAAATTGACAAATTCATGAAAATATAAAAACTATCAATTGTTTAAAAACGCCCATACGGCGTGCAAAAATACCTTGATAATATGTTGCTAATCAATCATAATAGTTGGTTGTTGCTAAAATTTAACTTAGAACTAGCTCTATACATGTATATAAATCGTATTTGCATGATTTGAATAGTGGCTTAAAACTAATGTTGCTTTTCCTATTTGTATGTAAACTTAGAAGAGGTTATTATTATACGCTTAGCTCGAGCTTTTACCCAATGAGCAGTCAATGATCTGCTTCAGGCACCTACCGAATTCCTCGATGATCTCCTTCTTGGTTGCCTCTTCGGCTTGCGCCGTCTCCTCGGCGTTCTTTGCGATTGTGACAAGACAGTGACTGGTCGCTTCGATTACAGCCCCATTGATGTAATTTGATGGTTGCCTGCGCATCGAATTCGCCAATGTTAATTTAATGCATCAATCAATTGAGTGTTTTTTATCAATACGCGTTGCGAATATTAATAAAAAGCGCTTCAATCGAAAGCAATTGAAAATCAAGTGGAAAACAAGCCGTGGCGTGCGGTTAAAGCAGACGCGGATATCATAGCAATCACAAAGTAAACAAATACAGCATCCAATCGATTATTTTTTACAACTCCGCACGAACACACAAATGCCAACACACCAAAATTATATTTAATTGCAAATTTCTACGACACTAACTACAGATTTCAGAAAAAAATCAACATTTTTATTCAAAAATCCAACAATTCAACGCGGCAAAATATTAAACTATATATATAAATATAAGACCAGCATAAAGTATAAATATCACAGTCCGTTTCGTGTTCCCTATACCCACCACCATCACATTAGTAGCATAAATGTTAGTACCTAACATACCTTGAGATCGATTTCTTCTTCGTGTCAACCGGACTCTTCTTGGCTGATTGCGGACTGACGTTGCTTTCCGTGAGCATTGAATTCCTCGTGGCTACTTCGAGACTGCCGGCGATTGTCAGCGGCGCGCTTTCCACATTCATACATCCCATGCATTTACAGTTGCTCGAGCAGGCGATTTTCGCCTCGTAGCATTCGCAGTAATTCTTTAAACAACCAGATCTTTTACAATTGCATCCCTTCGTGTGTTTCCTAATCGTCGCCTCGCCTGTATCCTTGCCTTTGCCGATTTTCGGTCGAAAGGCGTTCGGGTTGCGCTCGAGGCAGTTTTTAATCGCGCGTTGACGCTGCTCTTCGTTCTCGATGTTATTGTAACAATTCATGCAGTTACACATGAAGCAGAATTCGCCATTCGCGAAGCAATCACAGTATAGTTTGAGGCACTGTGATTTGGCGCAATTGCATGGCTTGCGTGTTTTGATCCCGTTCGATTCCATTGTTAGATCGGGCGATGCGATTTTCGGCACGACCGCATCTCCGGACGAGTTTTTCTGGATATTTCTCGCGGTAGTTATCTGCTTTGTCGGCGAGAGTGATAATCTGCTCATAACAACGGGTGAGCCGCTGCTGAATGTCTTCGAAACAGGCGCGCCTAGAGATTTCGTCACTTTTATAATTTGTTTTGGCGGCGGCGACGCCGGCGTTAATTTAGTTGTGGTTACTTTTGTTACGGTTGATGTGGGCGATGTCGTTGTTTGATCATCGATCGACTGTGAGCTGGTGATAAACTTGATGAACTGCAGACCTTTACCGGGGATGTTGATCGGATGAAATTGTGTTGTTTGCCCGCTGGGTACCTGGATTAGCTGGCCGGGTACTATATGTGCACCCGATGGTGCAATATTCGTTTGTTTCAGGTATATCCGTGAAGGCTGTACTTTCGTTGTGAAAGTCGTAGACGTCGCATTCGTGGTTGTCGTGGGGGCCATTTTCGGCGCCGGTAGGATTTTCGTCGGGGAGCGCAGCTGCGGAACGATTTTAATCGCTTTCGGCTGGTTACCTTTGCTGACCACGATTTGCTTCGCAGTACTGGCCATGGTGGTCTTCGTTCGAATGATGCCCAACTGTTGTGCTTCGCTGAAGGTGATCGTCTTGGGTTGTGAGGTGGTCGGCAGCAGCTTCAGGTTGGCGTCCGTTTTCTGCAGCACCATTATTTGTTGACCTGTTTTTGGATCTTAACACAAATTAATAAAATGTTCAGTAATCGGCACATGACCAGGGTTCACAAGACAAAAATAAATATTTGCATTCAATCGCATACAAACCGTAAATAATCACATACCGTATGCTCTTGTTATTGATTTGGGCGCAACCTTCTTAACGACCACCTTTTTGGGCGATACCAGTGAGATTGTACTTGGTGCTGGTGTACTTTTCGGCGGTTGCTTAATCGTGAGTGATTTTGAAATGCTCAAGTTTGAGAGTGTCAACCCCTGGCCGGGATTTATTAATTTGATTTGTGATCCAGCCCCAGAACCTATAAAATAAATACAAAATACTTGAATATACTGCAAAACAATGAGTTTTTGAATGTTCTATACCTTGAAGTAATAGTAATTGTTGGCCGGCAACAGGTTTAAAAGAAACTGGTAGTTTTGCTGGTTTGGGTGCAATTGTGAGTGGCCTCAGGGGTGGTATTGTGACTGTCTTGGGCTTTTCCTCCTCCATCTCCATCTCGATCTCCACGTCGTCGGCATCTCCCGCCGACAATGCCTCCAGTGTAATTACATCTGAAACCTCTGCGGGACGGTCTTCAAATTGCAAATCACTTAACTGGAGGCACTCACCATCACCACCCTCCTGCTCATCCACCTCTTGCGCCTCATCGATAACATCGATTTGAAGATGCGAGGCGAGCGCGTTGTGGTCGATGGTGGCCTCGTCGATGGTAAGACTATCATCGACGTGATCATCTGCAAGGGACGATAAGAATATTTGAAACTTTGGCTCGCATCACATAACCTCGCCGTATTCAAACCGACGGCGCCCGATTAAGAAGTTCTGTTTGCGTGTTTCTTACCTTCTCCGCCGAAGGACATCGTCGGCGTGGCGGCGGCCGCGCCTTGCGCAACCTGGGGCGGACTCTAATACACCAGGATTGTTGCGACGAAATCCGTTGGAGATTTTATGGAACAGATCACAAGCCACAACTCAAACCATACCAACTCCCGACTAGCATCGTTTTGTATTGGCGCTTTTACATCCAAGCGCTGTTGGCGTCCCGCCCAGATGGCGCTGAGGCGATATATTATTTCAAATTCTTCTATCATCTTTCAGCATTCGCTTTTGTTTCGGCGAGAAAATTTATAAAAACAACCGAAAAGCGAACGGTTGTCAAGCAACCATGGTGTGTGGATCGAAGGCGGCGGACACTTTCGTGTAAATTACTAAAAAAATCGTTTCGTCAATTTTTTTTGAAATTTTCTCTCCCGTTTCGATCCACATTCAAGCAAAATTTTCAGTCCTTTATAACTCTATATAATACAAAAAAACGAAAGTAAACCCTCATCCAACCATGTGTGATAACAGTAACGCGTCCTGCAATTCCAAATCCGCCGATCCGTGCCAGAAGGTTACGGTAAAGAATTCCGGTGGCGAGCGGCCGAAAGGCGAGGTGCGCTTTATCGAGTACGATGAGGGAAAATGCGGCCGCCGCTCGAAGAACGTCGTCGTCAAGAACGGCAAAAGCAAGCGTGACCCGCAGATTGTCGCACCACCACCAGAGGACATCCCGGCAATCGTGGTGAGTATAAGTACCTATATGTCAAAAAGACGCGACTCGCGACACATTCCGCCGCGAAGAAATAGACGCGTGTATTTATAGCCGCGCTTGAAAATATCTTCTTCAGATTTTCTCTCTAGTCAAAACAAAATTGCTCCTTAGACTAGTATGATTGCTCGCAAACTAACAGAGTTTAATACTATTTAAATGCGTCATAATCTCTTCATTATGAGGTTATATTCATATTTTGCGTCTTTAATGCAAAGTTTCTAAAAAAGTTTATTACTCCGCGAGCTTTTACTTTATCAAAGTAGTCAGAGAAGATAGATGGCGTAGCATGCGGGCACACAGGAGGCGCCTGGCGGTCGTGAACCCCCCGGCCGGCGTTCCACCGCCCCCCGGACAGATTGCGCGTTGGAAGCTCTGACGCGTTGTGCGTCGACGCCATTATTGCCCAACGTTCGTGCGCCGTGCGGCTCTAGTTGCTCGCTCAGTCAGGCCGTGCGCAGCAGTTACAGTTAAGTCCGTGTTGTCTGTGGCCACGTTCCGACCGTCGCCCCATAAGTTGCGCTCCATCGTCTCAATCGCCACCCGTCGTCAAAACTCACCAATAAATAAATACACGTGAGTATCTACGGCATCAGCTTAACGCCATTTCATTGCGGATTTGCGCGATTTTCATTTGTTTCGCATACGCATCGGGAATCACAGTGGCACCCTGGCGCGGTCATGCGGTTTCCTTCATGCATCACGTGCCCTACGACCGCTTTTCAGGCGACTGGAAATCGTATAATTCGACGTGCTTCGCAGTGTTTAAAGTGTCGGGTAGCGCGGAAAAATATCATGCGCGCCGTGCGGCACTCACGTAGGCCTGCCAGCGGGCGCGATGTTATGTAAGCGAGTGAGCGAGCGAAAATCGATTTTTATTTTAGGGAAAAAGCAATCAATCGCGAACGTCGCTGGCACTTACTATGTGCGCAATGCAGGCGTGGTAATGTGTAGTTCTGCAAGCCGGTGGAGGGTTTGCCCGCCGGCGCCGGCGAAGAGCCGACTATTTTAAGAAGTGGCGGAAGGAGTTCGGCCGTCGCGGCCATTTTGTCGCACGGAGTTTATGTAACCTTGAATTCTTGCTTGCTCAAGCGGTTATACTCTCGAAGACGTACAAATATCTGGAGTTAAAAAATGAAAAAATGAAGAGGGGACTTTATTTGCATACACGCATGGTATGCCATTTGCCTGGCCTCTATTTGTTTATTTAGTACTTAACACTAACACCATAAACAATTCAATCATAATTGGGGCACGAACTGCGCACACATTTCGCATTTATTGCGCGAGTAATCGGCGGACAATGAATGAGAATCACATTATTGTCGCTCCTAGACAAATCGTACGCTCGATTTTATTTCAGGCGACAAAATTCGCGTAAAACGCGCAAAAATCACCTCTGTTATAAATAGGTCTCATCTGTCGCGCGCTCGCAACGCAAAAGCGCATTATTTGATATCCTTCGCGTTTAAAAATATCGTTAATAATTGTTGTGTAACGATGCATGATCTTAACGGTGTGGCATCCGTGCTTATGCCAAGTTAGACAAGCGGCGCTGATTTGGGTTGATTTGCGCGCAGGTAATGGCTCCCCCATCGTACTCCGATCTCGGAAAGAACGCCCGTGATGTCTTCGGCAAAGGCTTCCACTTCGGGCTCATCAAGCTCGACGTGAAGACCAAGACCGGCAGCGGCGTCGAGTTCAACACGACCGGCACCTCCAACCAGGAGAACAGCGAGGTCTTCGGCTCGCTGGAAACGAAGTACAAGGTAAAGGACTACGGACTCACCTTTGCCGAGAAATGGAACACCGACAACACGCTCGGCACGGAACTCACCGTGCAAGACCAGCTTCTCAAAGGTCTCAAGCTCGGTGGCGAATTCAACTTTGCACCTCACTCTGGGTATGCTTTAAATATAATCAAATGCAATCACAATTTATTCATTTATTGTGTTATATTGTAGCAATAAGGCTGGTAAAGTGAAGAGTGCCTTCACAAATGACATGGTCGCGGTAAACGCGGACGTTGATATCAACCAAGACGGTCCGATTATTAATGCCGCTGCAGTCATCGGTTATCAGGGCTGGTTGGCTGGATATCAAGCAGGCTACGACATCAACAACAAGAAGCTTACCAAGAATAACTTCGCACTCGGCTTCACAACAGGCGACTTCATCCTTCACACCAATGTGTAAGTAATCCGGGGGCGGTAATCTTTTATTAATTCCAAGGTCCAAGTTAATCGTCTATACTCCTACTAATAATCCGTTTATATCCTTCTTTGCTCCTGAATATTATCCTGGTGCTGGTTCCGGTGGCGTTGCTGTGGACGTGTAACTAATTAGTCAATTTGCATCCGGCGGGGCTGATGATGGTGGCAGCAATGACGGTCAGGAGTTCGGTAGCTCCATTTTCCAACGTGTATCACCTCGTTTGGAGACGGGCATCCAGATCGCGTGGGCCTCCGGCGGCAACAACACCCGCTTCGGAATCGGCGCTAAGTACGACTTGGACGATGGTGCGTCCCTGCGCGCCAAGATCAACAACGCAAGCCAAATTGGACTTGGTTATCAACAACGCCTTCGTGATGGTAATATATTCTACATTTTATAATTAAATTTGTTCTTTAAACGAAAAAAAAAATCATGCATGCACAGTAATGAATGAAGATTTAATGAAAATTCATCATCAAATTATTATATATAACTCACACGCATGTTTATAATTAACTTTTTTACTTATTGTTATAAGTAATTTAATTGGGGGTGGTTTGAATTGATGCTGACTTAATTTTGGAATTGTATTTGCAGGCGTTACCCTAACTCTGTCGACTTTGATCGACGGCAAGAACTTCAACAGCGGAGGCCATAAGGTTGGCTTGGCCCTAGAATTGGAGGCTTAAGCACCCTTCCTCTAGACACCCGAAAATCCCAATTCACGACATGAAACTACAAGCAAGCAACTATCCGCAACATCAACAAGAAACGTACCGGACACAAAAACAAGCAACTTTCAAGCATCATTGTTTATCGATTCAAAAAGAAATCTTTAACACCGACATTAAAATAAAATAATAATATTAATAATAAATTCAAATCGAACGCAAGCTCTGTTGCGGTGCAAAGCAATCGAACCGCAAATGCGTTCACAATAAATGACGTTGAATATTGAAGTTGATTACACAAAATAATAATAATAATTCGCAGCGAGCTGGATGTCTAGATAGTACTATTCACTACACGGGTGCATGAATTATGAAGCGATACAAAAGCGGAGAGGCAAACGCTCCGCTAATACACAACCAACCAAAAAAAAAACAACAAAAATTATGTAAATCGTGAACTGCTGAAAATTTGTAGATATTTTTATTATTTCCGATTACCTATATTACTATCTAATAATGTGTTAGCATATGTGAGATAATATTTAGTTTGTCATTACGATAATGTTACTTGTAATGGGAAAGTCATCGATGAAGAATATCGCGGCTGACGGGAGGCGAGTGCGGTGGTGGTGTTTGCGTCTGCACGGCGCGGTCTCAAAGTCTCCCAATTCAAACGACCGCGTCTGGCGGTGGTGTATCGGCGGCGAATCGGTTTTATTTCAGTAGCCGCCATAACTGCTGCCAGGACGCAACACCGCCGTAAATTCTCGCTCGCCCAACGACACCGCTTGTAATAATCATAGTCGTGGGTAATTTGGCGTGCGCTCCAGCCTTTTATTTTGTTAATGAATAGAGACTTTCTTGTTGTTTGTGATTCATAATGAAGAGAAAAAACAACGCGCATGGGAGGAGAGGGCTGTTTCACGATGTTTGTTCTGTTCATATATAAAAAAAAACGAAACTAAGTAACATCAACCTTGGGGATGTATTGATGAGAGTATTATTAAAAAAAAACACACACACATACAATTGAGATTCGCAGTGCTTTGTCGATGCGAATTCATTTTTAATCTTAATTTCTTATTTTTAGGATTAATATATGTAACTACGAGTCCATTTGCTGTTCCAATTTCCGTGCGATCCACTCCGGGTGTGCTTTCGTGATCAATTCGATTACGTGGTTTACCTGTTCACATAGCGATTGGATTTGTTTATCCCATTGCGGAAGAGTTTCCGAGGCTTTAAAATTTAAGAGAAAAATTAATTTAGTCACAATTAATGAATACCACACAAAAACTTACTTTTAAAGTAAACAACAGAGTCGATCTGATCAATATCGCCGTTCAAGCGGCCTTCCGTAATCATTTGACTGGCAATCTTCTCGGCTTTCTCCGCATCAATCTCAAGAAGCGCGCCGAGACCCTCAAATTTAATATTTTTGTATGATTTGCTGGCCGCGAGCAAATTGTGCTCGATTACAGCGCGATCAAGAATTGTACTGCCATCGAGCATGGACGCCTTCTGATGAGGCTGTAACAACGCCTCGAACTCCTGCAACTCTGAACGGCGGATGATTCGATCAAGATACATCTTCTCCAAGATAGCGAACGCCGGCAGAGATTGACATCGCTCATCTTTGAAGAGAATCGCGAGCATTCGAGAACGTTGCTGTCCAGCCGAAGCCAGTACTGTGCAGATGAGCGCATTACGCAACGCAGTCACACGTTCTTCTTCATGAATGATCGATCGGTAAGACAACTCGTTGTAGCGCTGCGCTGCTTCGATAAATTTACGACGATAGTCCAATACGCGAGCGTAGCACACCTTGTAATAGATCTGAAGCTGTTCGTTCTTGCTCTCGGCCTGCAGTAGTGAAGCGCGGTTGATGAAAGCCTCGGCTTGGATGGGATCGTCATCCTCAAGATACAAACGGGCGATTTTCAAATAAGTTTCTAATTTATAATCTACAGAATATTGTCTGCCAGAGAAAAGAAAATGATTCATTCATGGTTACTGAGTTTTTATCTGTTAAAAACGTACTTTTGTCCGGTTTCTAGTGGAATTCCAACGAGGACATTGGCAGCGTCACGCCACTTCTGTTCGTTTTCATAAATATTACCCAGGTGTTGTCGGATCATTGACACTTGTTCTTCAAACGAAATAACCCTAGGTTGCACTTTGTCTAATGTGTAATGTGCAACCTCTTTGGAGATATTATCAGGCAATCTTGTCAAGTTCAAGCTGAGGTCTGAGAGTAGCTGTCTAGAGATGATCAGGCTAACGTTTTCGTTCACGACTAAAATATGCACAGGTAACTCAACAAAATTACGTTTTAATTGCACACTGGAACTCACTTGCGTCTATAAACAATTTCAGGCCTTCAATGAGCTCGTTTCCAGTCAAAGACATCAAGATCACATCGGAAATATGGCGATATCTGTGAGAAAATCATCAATATTTGGATGAAACCTCGGCGTTTTCGGTAAGTTTCAAGTTATTTTATCTACCTTTCGGCTTGATCTCTGTGTGTACCACCCGAAGTGGTAATACTGGTCAATTGCTGACGAATCAGGGTGATGTTTGCCATCGTTTCGCTTTTTAAATTTTGTTTGTGGCGATTTAGAAATGTTTTGTATTCGCGAAACTATTGTACGACGTGACGGTGTAATATACGATATACAATAGATTAGGTTAGGTTCAAATGGTAGGCAAGTATGAACACATCTTTAGAAAGATTTCCGATTTGTGACTCCCTCTCGTGTTACAACACATAGAACAAAATTTTAAGCGTTTGTGTTTAGACACAAAGTTCTCAAAGATTAGAAGTTGATTAGATTTCATTTATATTCCACTATCTAAATCATTTTTTGCATCATACAATTAGTACTGACATGATGATTTATAAATTAATACAAGAAGAAGAAAAGTAAAACTTTGCAAGGTAAAATAAACAATAAATTCTTCTAAATAACTGAATCACACACCAGTTTTAACTAAGCATAATGACAATCAGTGAAGTCTAACATTTTACATGCAGTCCTCATGCCGTGAGGAGATATATCAAAGATGCCGGCGGTGTTTAAAACATTAAAACCGCGATTGCCGCGTTTCGGATTCTTCTCCTGACGATCTTTCTCCGTTCGTGCCAGTTGTCGTAAATACGGGAAGACATCTTTGAAGAAACACTCCTTATCATGGCGTATATGAAGTGGAACAGCACGTTGAAACTTTGCAGCGCAGTTTTCTTGCTTCGCTCGCCACCTAAACACAATTTCATCAGAAAAATGCTACAAATTATACACAAAAAATGCTGTAATACCTTCGAATTTTGCTTGGTGCAGCATAACTCCACTCATCTGACATTGCAGCGTCATCAGTCTGCATAAACTTCTTACATTGTCCTTCCAGCAGTCTTTGTTGTAGTTCTTCAGTCAAGTAACGATCAGTTTTGTAATAATCAGTTCTTGGATTCAATTCCACACTGTCGAATAATTCGAAATCATTCTCATACGGTTCCAATCCTCCAATAATACCTTCACTTCGATTAAGAGTATCAGAAAACGAGATGTTTTCGATCAAACGCGCATAATCTCTTAATTCTTTCCTTACTCTCGGCTTATTCTTAGCGTTTGGCGTGATATTTCTATCAAAACCAACAATTTTCGGTATATTCCACCACAGCGTGCCTAAATCTAACGGTTGCGGGAGTATTTGCCCCTCAGGGTGTGAAATGAAAGCTTGAATGCATTTTCTATGTGCCTCCGGGTTTGAATTTAAATTTTCAATCGAATCCCCGCCGGAAATCAACCAAAATTGCAATTGTAACAATGTCCGTCTTATATCGCCCACATTCCACTCTAATAACATCTCTAGAGCATTTCTTTCCACCGTTAAACCTTCTACCAAACATAGAATTTGTAAATACGTAGCCATTGACTCAGCGGACAGTCTTGAAAACGACAACAACGGATATTGTTGGCTCACATATCTACTCACATGCGGAACATTGTAATCGTTCGTAATCAGTATAATCGGACGTTTCGAACTAGTAATCAACGTGTGCAACTCTTTCGTAAACTGTTCATCCTGTTGGTAGACTAAATCTACGTCGTCAATAAGTATCAAGCACATTTTCATCTCTTGATCGTTATGTTTTCGCACTTGGTGCGATTGCGTCGCTTCGTGCATTTGCTGCAGTAGTTGTTTACCAGTACGACGACTACTGACATTCACTTCGAGGACATTGACGCCGAGTTCCTCACACAACGCGTAAACTGTTGCTGTTTTACCACAGCCTGGTTTTCCGTAGAGTATCATCGTGTTTTTCAATTGTGACGCACCGTCACCGTCGAACATTTCACCACCGGGGCCATCAACGACCGCCAACCAACCTTCCAGCCATGTTTTTAATGATTTTACTTCTTCGGTATTCCCTAGGAGATCATTCGCACACTTGGGACGGTATTTCTTCGTCCACATTGTGAATTGATTGAGGTTTTCAGCCACAACAATAGGTGTTCCTCTCGTGATCTTTTTCAGCGATAGAGATGTTGTTGATTTTACAGGGTTTTGGTAACGATAATCAAGCCCATTACGGTCAGCGAACGTCACAAACAGATCAAACACCGGATAGTTTGGTTTTTGAATACTTATAGCTTTATATTTACTGAATAGTGGCGCTTGATTCTTTACCGGATGGAATGAAACCGGAATATTTTGTTTCACTTCGCTGGTAATGCCATTACACGATGATAAATTTTCAGTAGACTTTAAAATTTTCTTAATGTAAGTATCATCGTCTTCAGGAGTTATTAAATCAATGTTTACAGAAGGTAAATTCCATGCAAATGATGTACAACGTTGTTCAACATGTGCTACAGTTGGAAAAGCAAAGTATTCTTCTTCCTGAAGCCTGCAACATACAAAAAACAACAATTAAAACAAAAACTCAAACAAGAATCAATTAATTTCATACACTGTTGATTCGATTTTTTGTTTCTGCTTCAAAATATCCGGGACTCCACTGCGCAGGAAATTTTCTCTGGCTTGCAAAGATGCGGGACTCAATTGTGGTGGTTTAGGTTTCGGTTTAGCTTGCTCGAAAACAGAAGCGACTTTCTTGGCGACTTGTGACTTCCTAGGCCTACCTCTCCTCTTTCCTGAACTGGTAGAACTAACGGATGCTATGGAATCAATGGAAGACTCACTAGACATACGTTTACGGCGTGTTTTCAATGGTTTTTCATCATCCAGGTCAATGGCGTTTAGTGAATCAAAATTGATTACAGGTTTTCGAATGCGTGAAGTTCGACGTAAAGTCGGTGTCTCTGGCGATTTGTCTACTTTTTCTTTAGGTATCTCTGGTCCTGTACTTAATTCTTCTTCGACTACTTCAACAACTTCAGGTTTTTTCTTTAGACTTAATTTACTATATGGAATAATCACCTTTTTGGAACCTGAATTTGATTTATTTTGACTTCGTTTAATTGGTGAGTTGAATAATTCGTCCCATTCAGCACTTGAATTTAGATTTTTTGCTTCATCAACTGTAAGAATATCAATATCAGCTTCTGGTTGCGGTTTATTGTCATTTTCAGCTTTTAAAAGTGTTTTCGGCACGGTTTCTTCATCTTGAACCAAGTTTATTGGTTCTGATGAAGATGTATCATCATCAGGCGTAGTAATTTCATCATCGTCATCGTTTTTATCCATCTTTTGACGTTTATTCTTCTTACGCTCATGTGCTACGTCCAATTTTCGCTTCATTTGTTTAGTTTTCGTGTATTTACGTGGTGATTTTACATTAGGAGCGCTGGGAGGCGAGCCGCTTGTACGTCCTTTGCCCATGAGGAACTTAAATGCGTCCTGTCGGTTATTCTCTGGCAGAAGATCCGGCTCATTGTCCAAATCAATCACTTTAGGAGTTGCTTTATGATCTTTTATGGGAGTTTTCAAAGCACTCTTCATTTTTGGTGACATAAATAAATTAGCAGATACTTTGAAAGTAGCAGTTTCTTCTGTATTCTCCTTTTCTTGCTTGTCTTCTGATTTATTTTTGTATTTAGTTGGTGTTACTTCAGAAATGATTGTATTTTCACTTGTATCTTTAGTGTCTTTGGGACTTTCTAATGCTACTTTACTTTTATTCATTTTACATGCATTACTATTCATCTTATTAAGAGCAAACTTAGCTTCAGATATGTGATCAATCTTTTCCCCATTCTGCTTTTTAGCCTTTTCTTTCGATTTATTTTTAGTTTTGGATTTATTAGAAGTTATCTCAGAACATGCATTAAATTTATCCGAAGTTGGAGAATCACCTTCTTGAATCCTCTGCCTTTTTGCATGCAATTTAGACCTTGGTGAGGTAAATAAATTAGAAGATACCTTTAGAGTGGAAGACTTTTTGTCTATGTTCTCCTTACTTTCTGACTTGTTATTGTACTTTATTGGCCATTCTTTCCCCTGTTTATTTTCCGGTATCAACCGCAGGATGTCATCTACCGGCATATGTTTCTCTTCATTGGATTCCACGGATTTTACACTTTCAGCGACGTTTTTCACGAAAATACGACCAGTTTTCCTGGTTGTATCAGGGGGATCAAGTACATCTGATTTTACCTTGTACTTGTGAGTGAACAGATCGTAGTTCATCATCTTGATGAATGGTGGATTCTTCAGTATCTTCTCCTTTATCTTGAGTAGTGATAAATCGAGGTTTTCGGCATCGTTTTGATGATCTTCGGTTGAAATTGAACTGCTGCCATCATTCGAAGCACTTAAATCTTCCAGGGAGCTTTCAACTCCTCTCGCCACTGCCGCGGACATTGTTTAATTTTAAAGTAAATACATGCACAACGAACACAATTCAAAGAATGCACATAACAACAACTAAACAAACACGTAAACAAGTGGACCATGAAATAAAACTTAGGTTGCCATCGTTTCGAAGTTTGATAACCAACAAACTTGTTGCTTCGAATCTTGAAACCGCCAATGGATTTTCCGGAAGGCGAGGATAACCGAATGATGCCGACTCAGAATTTTAAATGTTAATCATTGAAATAATTGATTCTACAGCAAAATAGTGCAATGTTTTATATAGCAATTATTATTTTACGCATTATAAAGTGCATCGTAAGAATTTTAATACACAAAATAAGGAGATTTTGTGAAATTATAGTTTTAACGTTAGTTCCTAAAATATCCGCAAGTGTCGCCATATTGGTGATTAGACATAATTTGCAAACGTGAACGTTTTCCGATTAAACTTTATAGAAAGTTAGAAAGCAGTTGTAATGAAAACCGATCAACTCTTAAAATGGTAAGTTGGCCCTAAAATTCTCTAAACATTGCGCTATTATTATCGCAACGAGTGTGGTGCGTTCAAACCGCTTGTTTCCGGAGTGTTACACATTTTAACGTAACATAAATGCGAATTTATTTTCAATATAACAGGCATATAAACATCGTTATCTCATAAGTTATAAGCACTTTTAGCACTATTTGACACGTCTTTCGAAGTTTGTTCTTTATCATCTGAGCTCCCTATAGCATGGTAAACAGTATAAGGTTTCTTAAACACTTGGTGAATTCCGTGTGAGCATTCAATCTTCATATTGCACCTTGCATTCTCTAAATATTTGTGCACGAACAACCGGTTCAATTCGTGTATATCCGGATGCGTCAAATACTCGTCCAGTGTCATCCACTTGCAGTCCTGAATTTCGCGTTCGCACTTTTTAACGGCCGTTGAAAGCGGTTTCAGGCTGACTACCGTGTATAAATCAGAGCATTGAAACTGACCGCCATGTCCGTGTCGAAACGCGAGCACGCTTCGAAACTCCGTGTGAATGTTTGTCTCTTCGTAGACTTCTCTTATTGCCGCGTCGACAAAATTCTCACCGGGTTCGACATATCCACCCGGCAGTTTCCAATGCGCTCGGTCGTAGTATTTCTCACTAACAACTAGAACTTCTTGGTTGTCATTTATCACAACAGCACCAACTCCAACCATTGTGTGAGCAAACGGTGGCACATTACAGGACTCATCTTTCGGTAGCCAATTCAGCAACATGACGTAGTCCTGCTTTGCATGGTGGTATGTGAATCCATTCTAGAATAATTTTTGAGAAATCAAACAAGTGTTTAGACTTTTGCATAAACATGCTTGCTTACTTGTACTAAAATAGGTATCCAAGCAGCATCTTTAATGTGAACTTTGAACCATATCCCTCTTTTATTTGCCTTGGCCCATTCCAAAATGGAATCTAAAATATTCTCAGTCAATCTCACCACTATACTATCATCATGCAAATAAGAGACTTAGTAATAAATCCTGAAAGCTTTCTCCTTCTGGTATAGTCTCTCTCGTTGAATCCACTAGAATGCCATTGTATCTGTCTCCTCTGCCCTGCAGTAATTGTGGTACAGCCATCCTGGTGGTGTGCAGGAATCTCAGGGGAATAGATCTAGTGTGAGCAGTGCATGCAACTTTGCTATCATCTAATTTTCTTCACTCGCCACAATGCATCACGCATGACTCGACGTGTTCTACGTACGTTTTCCTGCAGATTGTGCACGACGGCGCGGCGTGCTGCGCATCGAACGCGCGTGCTCCGTTAGCGGAGGTTCGTCTGACGTTGGCGGTTGGCAGGTATTTCCTGGTGTGCGCACGAATGACATTGAGCATTTTCGAGGAAGCGCATTAGTTACGACACGAGCGCGACTGGCCGAGTCACACGGCGAAAGGTTCATAGTCGATTTGCATGTAATATAGGGCGATTATTACTGGCGCAAGCCGCCGATTACGCGAGCCGCGAGACGACCTTGATTTTGCGCTACTTAACGAACGGGGTTATGAAATTGGGCACAGCGCGGAGATTTGATATTTTGGAGTGTTTAGTAAACAATCTTACGTTACACGTTAAGTTATGTATTATGTAATATCCGTGGTTTATTATCTCAGTATTTTGATTCGTAACCGGTACAAAAATTGCGTGTGGAATAGTTTTATATTTTAAATATAAACAGTACAACAATGGGAATTTACAACTTTTGTTTTTTCTTGGGTTTCCCCACAACTTTCTTCTGATTTTTCTTATTGTCCTTGCCATTTTGCTGTAACTTCAACTTTTTTACTGGAGTTGTCCCCTTGGGAACCTCCTTTGCAACATTGTCATCATTTTTCGGGATTTGTGGATTTTGTTTGTTTTTCTTTTTATTTTTAGTTGTTGCTACGTTTTGTGTGATATTTTCGTCATCTTTGTTTAAACCGTTCGGTTTCTTGGGACTTTGTTGTAGTTTTAACTTCTTAACTGGAGATACTTCTGCCACATCGCTATCGATTTGTCGCTTTTTATTATTGTTCATTTTCTTGCCTGCATTAGGCACTTCTTCACTCACTGATTGCTCTTGAACATTTTGTATTGAAGTATTGTTGCCATTATTTAGCATTTGTGACTTTTGTTTATTTTTCTTCTTCTTCTTCTCCGGAGCTGTTGTTGCTACGTTGTCCGCAGTTGCATCTAAATTCTTTGATTTCTTGGGACTCTCGTCTTGTTGCGACTTGAGTTTGTTAGCTAAACCTTTTTCCATGATTGTGTTACGCTTTTGTTTCTTTGTTTTTTTCTTGCCAACAATCGAAACTTCGTCAACTACCTCATCCAAGTCGGTATTTTTTGTTGCGCCTTTCTTATCTTTTTGCTTATTCTTCTTTTGTTTAACAGCTGTTGCATCGACTGCACAATTCGGCTCAACATCATCCTCATTCTTTTCTAACAATGGGCAGTTCTGTTTCTTGTGACCTTGCTCCTTACAGTGGAAACACTCCTGTGAACGCAATTTCATTAGTAAATAACCAACAACATTCCTTAATATAACTTACATTTTTGAAAGCAATCAATTCGCATTTGTGTCCAACAATGGCGCACTTCTTGCATTTATCGCAATGCGACCACGTGTTCTTGACACACCGTTTGCACGGATCGCAGTGGACATATTCACGACCATCTTTGGATGTACAAACTCCACACTTGTCGCAATGCTTGTTTTCGTCCGACACCCAACGTTCGCATTTCTCACAATATTTATACCCTTCAGATTCAGGTAACTGCACCAACCTACAAAGCACATACAAATAAAAAATATATTTATATTAACATCGTGGTAAAATCACTAACGCTGGTTTGATATTGGTGAAAATCCTCACAGGCGATCCCTGTTTTCGCGCTTTCGGTCCCTCCGCGAACAACGGATGATTGTCATATCCAACTTTATAATCCAACATTGTAAAGTTGTCCATAGAATTTTTAATCTGCGGTTCCATGAAGTATGGAAAAACGAAAAACGTGGGCAATTTATGTGTCAATTTTGTAATTGCCTGGTGTTCCTTGTTTATTATCTCTAAAGTTGCAGCTAGTGGTTCAATCCTGCCACCAAATGGTGGATCTGTTACAATTATCAACTCATTTCCTCTAAAAAGACAAAATTGTTACTGTAATGTTCAATCATATAAAGTAATATTTAAATACTTGTTGTTACTAAGGAAATCCTCATAATTTTCTTTGACACCATCAAAGAAAAAGTGATGATTGAAGACATTATACCATGCAAACTGCATGGGATTATAGAATGACATGTATCTTCTATCAAAATCCAACAAGAAACTGTCCAGTTTCAATGTGCAGTTATTTAAGATATATTCGTGGATTCTAGGAGCTCCAATGCACAAAACATATCTTTAGAAACAAATAATTATTAACATTATTTACTACTATACAATATTATTTTCAATTTACTTACTTATAACCAAGTTTTAAAATAGTATTAACTATAAACTCACAGGCACCCTCACTGAACAAATATTGTGCCTCTTTCTTGGCATCTTCCAGTGGTAGTAAGAATTTACTAGGACTTCTAAGCACTTCCTCCTTGATGCCCTTTGCATGCTGATGCTGCAAGTGTTTTGCTTGATACTTAGGTAACTCAAACTCGCCGCAATCATGGCAATACATGCGTTCCGCTTCGCATGATTGCAGCACGTCCATAAATGTTTGATAAACCACGCGTGGGCCTGATGTTGATAGATACTGGTCGATTTTCGACTCCCAGTACCTCTTTCTATAAGTTTGACTTTCATCCTGCCACACAAAGATAGAACATTGCTTTCTGTCCCTGCATGCTGAGCACCCAAAGAAAGTTCTGGGTTTGTTATTGTCTAACGTGCGGAATAATAATGTAGGACCATGCGGGCAACGCGGATGTTTCTTAACATCCTCGATTATTACACTCACTCCCGCAGACATTGTGGATATTTAAGGAGTTATGTCAAATTCAAGAAATTACACACGTGGAAAACACCGAAATCGCGCACTAACCAGATGAATTCGTGCAACGTGCACCGCACAAAAAAGCACACGTGAGTTTTTCTTGGTTATTCACTAGTCGGATAGTAAACGGTGTAAAAGTGGAGGGATATAGTGATGGAGGGAGCTTTGGGCAGGATGTGAGCTTTTTAGTTCGCGATTTTGGTATTTTTAAAAGAACGGCGTTGCTGTGATGATCTCGTGGTGAGCCAGTTCTTTTATTTTAATTATTTTCTAGTGTAAACAGGTAAAACAATGTTTATTTTGTAGTTTATTTAAATATTACACGATTTTCTTTTCTTTTAGTTAGTTATATGTAGACGACAAGTAGTTTACGATAAGTAATATAGATTTAAATAGAATTTGGTACCGTCATGACTTGCAATCTGAGATAGTATGTATAATATTATTGTTCATTCTAGATTTGGTAGAGTGTACTGTTATTGTTTATTTGTTATTGACATGCAGCTGATTTAACCGTTTTTTTTTTCGTTATGTGTTGCTCATGTTTTTTTGTTTGTGTGTTTTGTTCTAACCTCAGTGGTGAAACATGTGATCATGATTCTTCAGAGTGCGTTGCTCATGTCTTTTGCTGTTTCTAGTGTGCAATCAACTAATATTAATCAACTGCAATAATGGAAATCACAAAATCAAGTAAGCTATCTGTAAATTTCGCTTATTTTCTTGCTCATATCAACTGTTACTGTAGACTTGCTGAGTGAGCTGCCTGGCATTGAGGAGGCAATCAAGAATGCCTCATTTCTTGCAATAGATTGTGAGTTTACGGGTTTAATTACCTCCTGTAAAATCAATCCTTATGATACACCAGAAGAGTATTACCAGAAAATCCGCCTTTGCTCAAAGGACTTTTTAGTTATCCAATTTGGATTAAGTGCATTCAGGTAGATATACAAACTTCAAATAATATTTAGTTGCATTTGCTTACCTATTTAATTTCATACAGATATGACACTGGCAGTAAATCATTCAAGGAGAAGTCCTACAATTTTTTTCTTTTTCCAAGAAAATTTAACAAAAATCTCCCAGATGAGAGTTTTCTCTGCCAGGTTTCTACCATGACCTTTCTGATAAATGCTGGTTTTGATTTCAACAAATTGTTCAAAGAAGGTATTCCCTATTTGAACCGGGAAGGCCGGTTGCAACTCCAAACTTATCTGGATGAAGCTCAGAAGATTAAAAACAAGGAGCCAGTACCAATACCTGATCACTTAAAAAGTGAAATTGATGATGTGTTGTAAGTCTGGTTGTATCTAGTACAAGAATTCTTCTAATATTTGATATCATTTCAGCAAAGAAATCAAAAATTTCATAAAAAGCGGCGACGAAGAGCGCGTTTTGAATACGAGCAGTGCATTCTGCCGGCGATTGATCTACCAGTCTCTACAAGAGCGGGTAGGTGATGTTGTTACTTTGGAGACTCGTTTTGAGGGAGATGATAGAACGTTGGTCGTCAGTCACAGCAAAACCGGCAAGGAAATTGCAGAGATTCATCGGAAGATTATGAGGGAAGCGATTGGCTTCTCTGAAATTATTCAATTAATTTCAAAATCGGTAAGAAATGCTTTTTATATTTGTGACTATGCAACTCATTATTTATTACAGCGCAAGCCAGTTGTTGGACACAATATGATGCTGGATGTGTTTCATACAATCAATCGTTTTCTTGTAAAGTTGCCAGAGGATTATAAGTCGTTTAAGGATTGTGCACATTGCTTGTTTCCTTGGTAATATTAGTGTATTTATTATTTTGTTATTTTATTACATTCTCTTGTTTTAAAATTCAAATCAACATTTAATACTTTAATTTGCTTTTAGTATATTTGACACCAAACATATTGGATCTCACATGATTTTTAAGGATATAATTCAGTCGACAGTTCTGAGTAAGATGCTTCATAGTCTTTTACAGAAACCGTTTAACCCACCTGTAGTTGGTAAGTAGACTACTAGTCCACTTTGTGTGCCTAATGATTTTACCTTTGTAAAACAGAGAATGACATTGTTGGCTTGGCCAAACCGTATTCGGTGTTGGAACCACGCGAACACGAAGCCGGTTACGACGCTTACATCACTGGTCTCTGCTTCATCAGTTTGTGGGACTATATAGGCAAGAAGATTGGCTACAAGGGCAGCGTTTTTGAAAACATCAACGTCCTCGGTCCGTACTACAACAAAATATACCAGATGCATCTCAGGGACGTTCCATACATCTGTTTAGATGCACCTGATGGTAAGTTACACGCTTACTTACTTTCTCTGAAAGGAAATAATTACTTGATGTGTACCATCTTCAGTACGTCCGTCTCGAGAACACGTTTTTTACATCTCCTTTTCGAAGACATGGAAGGTTGCCGATATTGTCCAACTGTTCAGTCCATTCGGCTTCGTCTTCGTATCCTGGATCGATGCAACTTCCGCTTACGTAGCGCTGAACAATCGTGAAAATTATCCGGCTGTTTTAAAGAGTCTTGCAAAGAGCACCGCTTATAAAATCATGACTTATTCGCAACATCAGGCCATACTTGGAAAATTAAAACCGGATAAAGTGGGTGATAAAGAGCTGGAGCAGTCGGATGATTTGGGGGTTGTTGTCACGCGCGATAAACGCAAGCGGAAGTCAACCAACGATGACCAGTAAGTTGACTACTCCCAGATCCTTATAATCCTTACGATTTGTTAAACAGGTCAGGGTCAGCACAAAAGCAACGAAAGAACCTGACTGAGTCGAACGAGTCAGTGTTGTTTAATAGTTTGCTTGTAAACAAAACACCTGACAAGGCATTTGCTGAGGACGACAGCTGGGAGTAAGGCTGCATAAAATTACCAGTTTTAACTGGTCTTACTCGCCGCAATTTCTCAGCTTTTAAGTAGATTTATAAGACTACTATGTAATAAGGAAGAATATTATTTGAGTTTTATTTTTTATTAAATTATATCGTTTTCTTGAAATACGAATTTTGTGGAATACAGTGGAGAAAATGTAATGCATGCAAGTTTACGACATCCTGTAGTGAGATATATTTGCAAAGTCGGTCCAGGTCCTAACCTCTACCGCCGAGACCTGTACATTTGTCAATATGTATTAAACATTTATAATCGAGTTGTTTGTGCGGTGTGCAATCGGGTAGACGGGTAATCGGATTGATTAAAACTCGCTTTCGAACAATCGACGGTGCGCAATAAAACCCTAACGAGTGTCGTAAATGTTCCCCGCCGGCTTGGGTGCTTAATTAAGGTGAAATATGGGCGCCGAGTGTAATTACCTATTATAATTAATGCGTTTGCTTGTGCTTGTCACCGTTGCATTTACCTACGAAGCACAAATCAGTCGCCTTTTGTTCGTTTATCGCGTTAAGACCAAACGTAAGTTAAATTTACTTAGTTATTTATAATCTTCAGTGTCTAGATAAACATTTCGGTGATATCTCGAACTTGAAAAACAGATTTCATACCGCATACCGTTATCTATTTTATAAACTTGTTGTTCGGCGAATGTGTGTCACTGTCTAGTAATTGCTAGGAATTCAAAGGAACACGGAAATTATTAGGTATGTGAAATGTTTTTACACATATTTTCATATGGAAAATACGTGAAGGGAAATTCATACGTTTAGTAGGGCCTACCAGCGATAAATGACTGCATGACAAGGCATAATTCATGTTGACATTTGCGGTGCAATTTGTTAAAAAATAAATTCTGTTGAAATTGAAATTCATTTAGTTATTAACTACGATGGGAGTCATCGATTACATCCGTTTGTTTTTCGACCTCGTGGTGGAGTTCGTCTTCGGTCTATTTTATTCCAAGGAGGTCGTACCATCAGTGAAGGATGACTTACTCTTGATGAGCGCGACGCAATTAGCAAAGGGTATACGCACGAAGAAATTCACTTCGCAACACGTGGTTCGTGCGTATCTTGCACGCATCGAAGAGGTCAACAGAACGCTCAACGCTGTTGTGGACATACGCGCTAAAGATGCGATAGCGGACGCCATCTCCATCGACGAGCGGATTCCACACATGTCGCCCGCAGAATTTAAATCATTACCTTTTCTTGGCGTACCTTTCACTGCTAAGGAATCGACATTGTGTGAGAATATGTCTGCTACATTTGGGTTGAAACAAAGACTGAATGTCCGCTCGGATCAAGATGCCGTAGTGATTCAAAATATGAAAAGAGCTGGAGGTATCCTTATTGCTGTTACGAACGTACCACAGTTGAATCTGTGGGTCGAGACACATAATCCTGTCTATGGACTCACCCGCAATCCGTATAATACCTCATGTGCGGTGGGTGGATCATCCGGAGGTGAAGCATCCATTCTTGCCGCATGTGGGTCACCAATTGGTATTGGAACAGATATTGGTGGTTCTATCAGAATACCTGCTTACATGTGTGGAATTTTTGGACATAAATGTTCCAATGGTCTTACGGATACTAAAGGTACCACTTTTTAACCGTTCTCTCTAGAGTATCGGTATTAAGCTTTAATTTTACGATAGGTTTAACTTTCCGGGACGGAAGTGAAACGGAGCACACCATGGTGGCCATTGGACCAATGTGCCGCAAGTCGGAGGATCTTATTCCAGGAATCATAGCTCTTCTCGGTAAAAAGGCCGATCTTTTGAACCTCTCCGTTCCAGTAGACACCAGGAAACTTAAGTTTTACTACATTGAGAAAAATAGTGACATAAGATGTTCACCGATTCGCGCTGATGTCGAATACATCAACAAAATGTAATTTTTATTCGCAAGTTTCTTGCGCTTTATAAAAGTATGACTTTTTTATGTGCAGGGTTGTAAATCACTTCCTAAAGGACAGGACCGTTGAAAGACTAGAAGTACCTAAACTGAAATATTCCTCTGCTTTATACAAATACTGGATGGAACAAGAATGCGGTGGATTTAGGTCGGACGTGACAAATCGTACCTATGAGGCAAGCGCTGGGTCTGAACTATGGAAATATTTGACCGGACGTTCGGAGTATTCATTTAGTGTAGTCCTGGTCTTAATGAGTTTGCAGTGGATGCCCTCACCAAATGAGGAATGGGCCCGTGAAACCACACAGGAAATCCGGAATTATCTTATGGTAAGTTTACGCATCTTTTGATCCCAGTTTGCCATTATTATTAATGGTTTACTCCCAGGATAAATTGGGCGATGATGGCGTTCTGCTTTATCCTTCGTGGCCCCAAACAGCAACTTATCATCACGTTGGCTACTTTAGACCATTCAACTATTCGTACACGAGCATCTTTAATCTGCTGAAGTTCCCCGTCACACAAGTGCCTCTAGGACTAAACAAAGATGGCCTCCCTGTTGGAATTCAAGTAGCGGCCGCACCAATGAATGATCGACTGTGCGTCGCTGTTGCAAAGGAACTGGAGCAGGTATTTGGTGGCTATGCTGTGCCGCAATCAGCAAATGTGAAGAAATAAACCAGTGAATTTAACATTTCTATGCATAAGAGTTAATGAGACTCCGAACATATTTTTTACAAATTATAATACACATTTCAAGGGAAACAATAAGCATTTTTACTTTATTATTAGATTTTTGAAGCGGTGTGATAGGAAACATTTGCTTCTTAATCTGTGATCTCTATTATCTTACATTAATAATTTTTGCAATTCACTCCAAGGAAGCGCGCAAGAATGTCATTTTTAAATAATATTTTATTATACGTAATTTGAATTGCAAGTTGCAAGAACTGAAATAGTTTCACGTCGTCTCCCCCGAGGTGAAACTTTTTAAACCAAACATCAAATTTGTAATTCCAATCAGGTATAATAATAAAATATTATTTAAATTATTAACTGTTCACGTACTCATAAACAATTATAAATGCCGTTTTTGTGTTTCAAGGCACTAATTTTTGTATGTTTTATGGATCTATGAACCGAACTCGGCCTCGTAGAGTTGCCCAACTTATTTCAAATTGTATGTATTGAAATTTTTTATTAGTTTCAGTAATAACTTTTTTTAATTAACTTGCAGCCAACATGCAAAAATGCAATTTTTATGTTTTGAGGCACTAATTTTTGTACGTTTTATGGGTCTAGGAACTGAACCGGACCTTGTAGGGTAGCCCTACTTGTTTCAGATTGTATGTACTGAAGTTCTTTATCACTTTCAGTATTAACTTTTGTATTTAATTCGCGTACTGCATGCAAAAATGCAAATTTTGTTTTTCGAAGCACTCATTTTTGATTGTTTTTGGGGTCTAGCAATCGAACTCAGCAACGTAGACAGCGTGCGCATTGTAAGTATTAAATTTCTTTATCATCTTCAACTGTAACATTTTTATTGAACTCGCGGGAAAGCTACACAAATGGCGATTTTCTGATACGGTAATGTAAGTTCTTATCCAATTAATCAATTCATACAAATTCATAAAAGCACGAAGTATCTATACTTCGTGCAGTAAAGTTTCATGCAATACACCGGTATTTTGTACCGCCAAAACTAGATGGCGCTAGTACAGCTACTGCTTGAGGTTGATTTGTGTGTTCGATAGTAGGTAAATAACGTAAGCATTGAAAGCAGTCTTGTCGGCAAGCAATGTTTTGGCTACTCAGTCAGTGTGCGGTTGCGTGTGTTCTACTTGTTTTTAAATTGACTGCAACATCTTGTATTTCGTGATATTTCTATTAAGCGAAAAGCTACCGATTTATCCCGCGTGATTTATCCTCGCGTATGGGTGCAGACGACCGTCGGGCGTTGGATGTTTCTTCAGTGCCTACGAATTCCAATCGAATTTATTATATTGAAAATTTGTGGAAATAAAACACGTGCATATCTTGTATGAACAAATTGTTAGAAAAGTAATAAGGTGAGTAACATCATTACGATCTAGCAATTTGTGGAAACGTGTTTGTGAAATTTAATTGTTTATGGCTAAAAAAATATAGAAGTAAGTAACATCAGGTAATTATTTATTTATTTCTGTTTAACTTTTTGAATGCTACAGACAATCGCATTTTTTATGATAGATGTATATAATTCAATAAATAAAGGATATATTTTTTTATTACTTTCTACGTCGAATACGTATGCATGTTCTATATGTATAAAAAATATATTTATTTATTAAAAATTTTACGTGATTTTGGATTTACAGTTTTATTTTTGAGTTTTACATGTTTCGCCCTGAGGGCATATTCAGAAAACTTCTGTTTCTGAAGAGTCTGAAGAGCCGGAGGCGCTCTGGTCGATCGCTCACTGCTTCGGTCTGTCTATAGCTCCCGGCCCATTTCATTGCTCAGGTCTGTAATGAAATGAAATTCAATGCAAAAAATGCAGTCGATGCGAGCTGCGACTTGATGCTGACCAAGTACATTCAATCTCATCAGCCATTTGTTGTTCAAGCAGTTGTCGTCCAGGATTTTGAAAAATATTTCGCAATCATCGTTTTATCCTTGGGAAAAGTTATGCGTATTTTAACCAATGTAAGTATATTTCACGTTTTTATTCACCTTTGAGTGATTCTATTATTGAATTATTTGCATGTGTAGGAGGTGGAAAATGCTACGGTGGACGTTGAGACTGACGAAGGCCCGAACAATATAAAAATGATTAAACTGCTGATGCATTTCATAGAAGAGGGACAACAGCCATGCACCCAGCTCATTGAAGGTAGATATAATATTTGTAATTTGAAATAACATTCATGCCTCGTGTATATCGAGAAGTTGATGAATCTGTGGAATAGTAGAAGAGAAAAGATGCCTCTAGGGGGAAACGTTAAACAAGGTATTATACACATATTTGTATTATAGCTTTAAGTTTACGTATAATATAGAATAAATATTTATCGGAATGACCCAAAGATCAAATCTATAATATATCTTATCGTCGCACGGCTGTCAATTCTCATTTCTGTTTAGTCGGTTGCGCCTTGTTGTGCGGTGTGGACGTGTTTTATTTGTCCGTCAATCTGTGTAGCGACTTTTAACGTAAGTATGAAATTATTTTTGACGTGATAACGTCTTTAAAATCGTTTTACGGGTGACATGTTCAGAAACTGTGTCACGAGGCCTCTCGAGGCCGATCGCAGGTATACCCCCCTCTCGTTATAACGAGAGAGAGACGGACCGATCTCCCGTCTCATCTCGAGCGCTGCCAGTCATTCCGTGAAACTTGACACGCGGAATCCACACGAGCGGAGGCAGGCATAGCGTTCGAGTGAGTTGACCGATCTTCCGTCTCTCTCACTCTAGCGGCATACAAACGAATGGAGATTTTCTCGTGCGGTTAAGTTTTCGTTGAATGTTTAACAGTAAAACAAAATGTGAAGTGCAAGTGAAGTGTTACAACAATTGCAACAAACAAAACTTATATCACCAATAAGACGTTATCACGTAAACATCTCGATCGTAAACCTACTTTACAAACAACCATTTTTTAAGTTTAAAATTTTGAAACATGAAAAAATATATTTTCAATTAAAAGTGATGCAATCAGAAATTAATATCTTAAACTATGTATGTATTTGTGGACTTACTTTACAATAAAAGCAATTAGCAATTAAATGACTAAACTTTTGAACTGCAAATATCTAAAACTGAGTTCTACTTAGGGCTTCACACGACACTGAGACTTTTCTCGTATCGTCTCGGTCTCGTATCGCTTTTCCGAGACGATACCGAGACCGAGACGATACCTTTGATAGTCTCGTCCAGTCCCGTCTCGTGTGAAGCCCTATGAGTAACCATCTTTGTATCAGATTGTAAGTATTAACATTCTATATTATTTTTATAAATTTTATTTGTAATTAACCAGCGGGAAACCCACGAAAATTATATTTTTGTATTTCGAGTGACTAATTTTTGTTTGTTTTAGGGGTCTAGCAAGGACTTCAAAAGACAAATTTTTCATTTGTTTAGGGATTTTCCACCTGAGTCCGACATCGTAGAAGAACCATTATTACACCAGATTGTGAGTATTAAATGTCTTTATCATTTTCCTGCCTAACTTTTGTGATTATCTCACAATTTGACTCGCAAAATTGCATTTTTATGTACGAAGGACTAATTTTTGATTGTTTTGAGATTTTGCCCTGAGTCTGATATCGTAGAAGGACCATTCTTGCATCAGATTGTAAGTATTAAATTTCTTTATCATATTCCTAATTAACTTTTGTGATTAACTTACAAATTAACCACCAAAATTGCATGTTGCATATGTTCGAAGGACTAATTTTTGCTAAAACCATTTAGGGATTTCACTTTATTATTTAGGATTTTTGGAACACAAGCATCGCGTTACTCAAGTCAAATTGAATGAATCAAAAGTAATAAATACTACCCTGATGTTTCTAATTTTGTTTTGTGTCTGATATGTTGCTTGTGTCGGCGCAGCGCGTCAGTTTTCTTGCTTATTTAGATAGTACTGCTCGGGTCTATCTGCTTTGTTTACGCCTGATATCAATTCTCTTTACACTTTAGTCGATCGCGCGCTGTGCTACGGTTAGCACGTGTTTTGTTCGTCAGTCGATCTTCGTAGCGACCTTACGCGTTTCATACTTTAATTCTGTAATTGCCTTCATCGGCCTTTCGTAACAGGGTAATGTGGCGCAACCCGAATTAATCATCGGTTCGTCTGTGCGCTTGGGATGTTCGGCCGGCCGTCGCTAGATATTATTCGGTTGTGGAATTATCTGCAACTGTGTTGATCTTTATGTGCGCCGCATGTGTGTTCATCGGCAGTCGTTTATCTTCTCGAATATTGGCAAAGCTTGGATTTATTATTAATTCCTGCTGATAGACAACGTTGGTGCCCAGTTTTTGAGTATGGGAGTCATGTAATCAGCGATATCCATGAAAGAAGTATTGGAGATGCGCACATTTTAAGGTAAGTCTTTATTGCTACGAGATTTGAGATTCGTCAATGTTTTTTATTTGAATGATATATGTATTTTAAATGTTGTCAATAAAATACATTGTAATGTTATAAACTAATTCTTATTTCTTTGTGGTATCCTCTTTGTCGTTTTCAGTTTTAAATAATATGGCATATAAGTCTTATGTGTGAGCAGCGGGTATAAGCGCGTATGCTTAAATTGTGTTGTTTTTAAAACATGATAAAAGTAGAAACATAAATAGAAGAATCAAATATTAATGATAAAACACTCGGTGGTCGAGTGGAGACATGCACTTGCTGGCATGCTAGCAGACACGGATCGAATCTCAGGTATAAAAGGCATTTTTCTCAAATATAAAAATAGCAGGTGTAATTTGGGTTGCATGTATGAACGAAAATATATGAGATATTGAAATACAAGTGAAGGCAATATGAGAAATAAGAAAGAGCAAGTGGAGAAACGGAGAACAGAGAAATAGAAGAAGAAGAAGTAGTAGAGAAGAGGAGGAGTGAGTAGGAAGAGAACACCGAGGGGAAAGAGGAGTAGAATAGAAGAAAGAGCACAGGAGAGGATCAGATTTTTAAATTTTTGGCACGTGTCGTTATAAGACAGTCACACTACTTCGATGTGTCCATTGCTCCCGGCCCATCCCACAGCTACGATGTCTCTGCGCTTCATCCCCGAAATACTCAGGCATATCAACAATTTTTATGGTGGGGATCATCCCCAGGAGAGGGAACTCCTTATAAGGACTTGTTCAGATATTTCTAGTTTTAAGTCGCCTCAAGAGAGGGGACACTTAAAAATATTCTTACGAGTTCTGACCTGTAGCTGAAATGAAAGATGGAGTACACAAATCATACAGGATACCTTAACAATTTTTATAGTGGGGATCATCCCCTGAGAGAAGGAACTCTCTTAGAGACCTGTACCTGAAATGATAGAAGTACACATCAATCAAAGAAGTCAATATATCTTACTATTTCTTTATTAACAATAGAATACAAGTTTAGAATTTACAAGTCAACAATATACCTGCCGCCATATTGACACAGAACTTACGACCTGCATCGTCGCGCACATATAAGCAAGTAACACGTCAAAATATTCTACCGGGATGAAGAAATTAACAAATTGCTCATTTTCTAGGTGATGGAAAATGGAAACAAATATACAGGGTGTTACAAAAGAAATTTTTTTAAACACTCAAATATCGCTCGTTTTCACCGTTACTCTGGGAAACAAATATACAGGTCGTTACTAAAAGAAAATTCAAAGTATAAGATGTTAAATTCTAATAATGTTCAAAGCAAAATTTTCAAGGAAGTGAAGGAAAACAATTATACAAGGTGTCACAAATAGGAAATTCAACCATCAAAGAGGAAAACATCTAAACACTGCAAATATTGCTCGTTTTTACTCGATTCTCCGGGAAACTAATAAACAGGGTGTTACAAAAAAATTAGAGTGCGAAAAGAAAGCCCTAAAACCACAACTAAAGGAACAAAGAAAAGCGAATATACAGGGTGTTCCAGAAGGAAAATTCCAACTTTAAAACAAGGAACACTCAAAACTCACAAATAAAGGCGATTTACTACGTACTGGTAGGAAAACTAATATACAGGGCGTTACAAAAGGAAAAAATATACAAATAAAAAGCTACAAATACGGTCAATATTCACATCACGACGAGAGGAATTTATACGGAAACAACTATATTTTTTAAAAGATTCAAAGATTTCACCCGAAAATCTTCGTAAAAGTTGAGTAAAAAAGGTGCTACAAGAATAAAACGTTTACATTTTAATATATTGTGTATATATTTATCATTTGATGATAGCATCAACTGCATAAGATAACTGACGGGTGAAGCATCATAAATTGATAGAAAACATCCAAATCATCAGACGGCACGCGAAAAGAGGAACAAGCCGACGGTCGACGGCAAAGTGAGCGTGGCCGACCACATGAATATTGTCATTTTAATAATCCTCAGATACTTTTTTATAACAATGCTTGTAATAATTAAATCATGCATGTTATTTTCGGAAACAGGGCTATGAATTCAGATTTTAAAAAAATCGCAAAATTAATATACCTCAAATGGAATAATCAATTTAATATAAACCGTCTTAACTTACCGCAAAAAAATTAATTACTAATTAATTAAAATTTAAAAAAAAATCATCAAACTAACGCGAGGGCGCAAAAACCGGATAAAATATCATTTTTTTTTGCAATAACTCGCGTTGCAGACAAATCTCCTTCAACAAATTAATATTGCCTTATAGAGAATTAAATTCTGCACCTCTAGACATCGCGCTCAAATTTGTGTGAGGCCCCGTTCGATCACAATAATGAAAAACCGCACAAAATTAACTCAAGGACAAAAAAACCTGATAAAATATCTTTTTTTTGCAATAACTCACGTTGGACACGAATCTCCTTCAAGAAATTAATATATCTTTATAGAGAATTAAATTCTGCATCTCTAGACATCGCGCTCAAAATTGTGTAAGTCCTCGTTCGCCCACAAAAATGAAAAAACGCACCTAATTAACTCAAGGACGCAAAAACCGGATAAAATATCATTTTTTTTTGCAATAACTCACGTTGCAGACAAATCTCCTTCAAGAAATTAATATAACATTATAGAGTATTAAATTCTGCACTTCTAGACATCACGCTCAAATTTGTGTGAGTCCCCGTGAATATCTTCTAAACTAAAAGAGATAGCAACCAGAAAATTGTAGATTGGGGAAGATTGGAAAATTCTCTATCAGACGGAAATTTAAAATAATTTAATTTAATAGGGTAAAAGGTCTAAAAACGGGACAGAAAATGCTAAAAAATGCAAATTTTCAATTTGTGACGATTGATTTAAAATGCGAGTATTTCGTAAACTAAAAAAGATAGAAAGGAACGAATCGCAGAGTCTTAATCTACGAACAATTCTCTATAAAATAAGCGACT